TTTGAGGTTATACTCAGTCAAAATCAGTATGTACGGCACTGTACAACAAAACTATTATTTATAATTAATGACCCACCGGTGGGTCATGCCGTCGTCAATGTGTTAATAATTATCTTTTTTAATCTTAAAGCAAATTTAATACTAAATTTAGTTAATGAAAATTACTATCATAACTTTATTTACAAGGACAATTATAAATGTAAATTAAGTATAAACTTTATTGTGATAAAGCAAATTTAGTTTGTATTTAGTTGGGTGTAGTAATAATAAATACAGGGATGATGTACGATGTTGCCCTTTGACCGTATCCTGGATACAGCCCTGATTCGTGGAGTGAGATGGAACGATAGGAGCGGTGGGGGTAGGAAGTGTCCTGGAAGGGGTAGGAACAGCAGAGGGAGAAGGAGGAGAGAATCGCGCTCCTCTAGGTAGTAGGGCTCGCGGTTCTGTCCGGAGAGTCGCAGAAGTCGCGAGAACGGCGATAGAATCGGTCGCAGAATGTCGGGATTTCCCGATATCGTGGAGCTCAACGTCGGCGGGGTGACCTACTCGGCATCCCTGGCCACCCTCACCAATCAGCCGGAGTCTCAGCTGTGCGCCATCTTCACCGGAAACGAACCCATCGCCAAAGACTCCAAAGGGCGCTATTTCCTGGACCGCGACGGCGTTCTCTTCCGCTACATCCTGGACTACCTCCGGGACGGCACCCTCACCCTACCAGAGTGCTTCCGAGAACGGGACCGTCTACGTCGCGAAGCCGAACGCTACAACCTTCCGCACCTGGTGGACCTCATCGCCGACACGTCGCGCTCCAAGGTGCCCGGTTGCATCACAGTCGGCTACCGCGGCAGCTTCCAGTTCGGCAAGGACGGCCTCGCCGACGTCAAGTTCCGCAAGCTCTCGAAGATCCTGGTGTGCGGCAGAGTTCCCCTGATGCGGGACGTCTTCGGCGAAACGTTGAACGAGTCCAGGGATCCCGACCACGGCCTCGCCGAACGCTACACGTCCAGGTTCTTCCTGAAGCACTCCTTCCTCGAGCAGGCTTTCGACATGCTCTACGAGCAGGGCTTCAAGCTGATCGGCAGCTGCGGTTCTGGGACGGCCGGAAGCGCCGCTGAGCTCAAACCCGGCGTCGATGCCGAAGAGAACCGCTGGAATCATTATAACGAGTTCGTGTTTGTGCGAGAGTAGAGTGACCAAGAGATCATCCCCATATCCGCAAATTCCACACACACACACACAAAAAGACACCCCAAGACATAAAAAAAAACAAAAAATAAAAGCAAGGGTCGAAGTTTAAAATTGGGCACTTCGCCGCCTCAATTCAAATTACAACAACCACAAAAAAATGCGAGGCATTACCCAATTCTAAATTCCAGCCCCAACCGAGGGACTGAAATAACAACATAACCACTAGGACTCGCTCGATCTCTAAAAGTAAAACACACCAACACAAGCCCTCTCATCAGCAAAACCAGAGAGAGAATCACATATCCCTTTTGATTACGCAATCATCGCAGAGATTGAGCGCAATCAAAAAATACATTATTATTATTATTATTACTATAATAATTTTAGGCACGCACAGAACGCGCGACCCAATTTAACCAGGACTTTTCCCCGGGATTTGCGCATTTCTTCCGAAAACTTCCTTTTAAAATTACATTAATTACCACTCTCAAAGGAGCGCATTTTCCGGCGCTCAGCTCCTCGCAATCTCTTCTTCATCCATTCTAACTTTTTTAACTCGCTCGCATAAATCCCATTCCAAGATCAACTCAAAAGAGAAAACTCAATTTACACACTTCAAAAACACATTTATTTAACACAAATAATTATAAATGAAATTTATAAAATCTACACATGCATTACGTATTAGATTCGAAACAATTGCATTCGTTTAATTAAATTTAATGAAAAATCTTAAATTAATAATTCTACTACGTTTGGGTTTTGAATATTTCAATTTGTTGACGTTTGTTCAAGGCTCCATCGATTTCTGATGCCGCTTTCTAAAATCACGTATTCATGATTACTTATGACGGATCGCATATGGTTATGTTTGAATTTATAATCTCAGAAATGTGTAAAAAAAATAATAAATGAATGAATGAGTGTTCTTTATTAAAGCGAGATTTGGAAAGAGGCATGTGCGAGTAAATTGAAATAGGATGCGTTTTTTTCGTGAAGGGGATTTTGCTGAAATGAAAGAAGAAATGCGCACGGGAAATCAAACATACATATATATATACTACAGAGACAGACAGAGACACACTCGTACACGGATAGAAGCGGAGGAGAAATTATTCTAACTAGAGTCGAGGATGGAAGGAATTGAAATTGAATTGAAACCTCAAAGGATTTGGCGAAACCGAATCCTTTTATGCACCCAAAGTCTCGGAGCTTGCATTACGTCCTTCCCCGAAATAGATCCTTCTTACCCTTTCAGAAAACCCTTCAATTCCCTGAATAAAAAAAATATGATTATTATTAAGATATCATCGCAGATGAGTCCAAGTTCATTACGTAGATGTGATTATATAAATATATATAAATATACATATGTCATTCTTATTAATATTATTTTCTTCGAGAGAAAGCATCAAGTTGATCGAGATGAATGAATAAAATGTTAAGGGTAAAATAGTAGATAGACAATTTTATTTCCTCTCTCTCTCTCTCAATCTCCTCTTCACCGACGAACCTTACCGGAAATCAACATCTTTTTGACCAATGTAATTAATTTGAATTAATTTATGTATTATAGTATTTAAGTATCAACAAAGAATAAAGATTATAAAAAAAAACAAACAAAGAAGAAGCTTGTATTATATGAATAAAACTCAATGATAATTGAAAAGAACCCATTGATTTATTAGTATAGAAATAAACGAGTATATAATGAAATAACGATATATTTCTTGCGTCGCAAACCTCACATTTTAAGTTTAATTTTATACATTTTTATTCTTTAGCTTTTCTCCCTTCATCGTCAATTAATTAATAAACTTTGGCTTTTGTGTGAATTGCGAGAATTTTCTGCGCCTACTCCACTCGAGGGAGCAGGTTTTCCATTGGGAAAGTCGAGGGGGCCGTGAAAAGTGTTACGTGTTGGAAATCGGGTCAAGGTTTTGCGCTCGTCGGCCCAAGGCGAAATTTATGAAATACATTTTCGTTGCGCGGAAAATGCGAATGTACACGCGCAAAATGCACTCGGGTATCCAAAAAGCTATTCCTGGACGTGGACCGATAGTTTTACGACCCGCCAAAACTTCGGGTTTTCACATTCAACCCGAATGCAATGGGAGAGAAAGAAGAAGGTGGAAAAAAAAATAGAGAAAGGAAAAATAGAAAAATCGGCGCGTTTCGTCCCCCTCCGCACGCTTTTATTTATTATTCCACTTCGACTTTCTTGCTTCGGTTTATCCTCCCCTCAAGGGACAGAAGATAAATATTTAAGTTATGTACGTGTGTGTTTTACTCGGCTTTCGAACTTATTCCGGGAATCGATAGGAGGATACGCAGAAGAACAGGGTTGTTCTTAGGGACGAAATAACTCGAAAAATTTCTACATAAAACCGAATATTATAAGAAATATTCAATTAACATAACATTTTTATAAATTATCAATCAATTCAATTGCGTTTTATCCTGACGTAAAATGATCGCATTCTCAAGAAACGTTTAATGATTATTTATAAACTACTGAATAACAAATCCATAAATAACCGCTGCTGATAGCTTTTGTTTCACGATAATATTTTTGTTCTGGTGCGTATTTATCGATAAAATGCCTTTTATAATATTTAAATCGATTGTGTGATCCGTTAGGATTCATTGAAAAAGCAGCATAAAACGGCAATTAGTGCTTCGAGCCTCGATAATTGCCTTCGCTTTCGAGTTTAAAATAAAATCGAAAAATTCACAATGCATGATGCTTGATCCTCGTTGCTCTTTTCAAAGTCCATCAAAATGTTTTACAACTAGTGACTGGCGGATTTTCTCAAAGGCGCAGGTGTCTCTTAAATCAAGGGGGGACTTAAATCTTAAAATTGGTACACGATTGATCAAAAAATAGTAATAGATAGAATTGATCCTAAAGACGCGTGTTAAAGTTGGATATTTAGGGAATGCAACGAGTATGCAATTGTTGTTAACGTGAAGATATTGCAACAAATCGATAAAATCTATAAATAAATAGTAATTCTCATAATATAATATTTCTAATTCTAAATAATTATTCTTTAGCTTTCGTTTGTTACTAAAACCATTAATTTTAGACAATTAATAAGAAAGTTATTAAGCAACGCAAGTCAGAACTTTTCAAAATCTAGATGCTAGATTTTTGTAGCACACCCATTCGAAATGTGGTAGTTTCCTGTTTATATTCTATTATGTAATTATCATAAACTAAATTAAATTAAACGTGATAAAAGTGTACTTTCAACTTTGACTATTTGATAGCTCGTAACTGGCATAAGGCACGAATCTGCCAATAGGCTTATTGGATTGGTCATACTTTTGTCATTTAAATTGCATAGTTGATAAACTAATTAACACGAGTAACTCTCAATTAATTCAAAAAAAGTGAAGGTATTGCAACAAATTGGAAATATCTCTTTTTAAATTGTTATTTGCATATTTATTTGATAATGTGATTTATAGGAACAAGGAATGATTCTTTCTCTTTCGTTTGATATATAATAGATTAACATTGATCAGTTAATAAGAAAGTTATTAAGATTTAATGTGTCCGCGGTTTTCGCGAATCGAAACGCAAGTCCCTCCCCCTCTTGAAACTCGAAAATGACATAAAATTTCGATTTGCACCAGGAGACCAGGAGTAGCGAGGAGGTGTCTGGGCTCCTAGCAACGGTAGTTCTAACGCAACGGTAGTTCTAACTCAACGGTAGTTCTAATGCTACAGCCACTTACGTTTGTGTGAGTGAACGAACTGTCATTCTGACAGCTACTGTCAGTGTGACAGCTAGTGTTACAAGTCTTTACTGGATTCGCTCTTTAATTTGAAATGTTCTATAAATGCAAACTTAATGAAGCATGTGCTCTATTGCTGTGTCCTTCTATTTCTATATTTGTGAAACTTTTATACGAACTATACATTTCACTTCAAGTAAAAACCAGTACAACATGTTAACAACAATTACTAAAATTGTTTGTGTTTAGAATAGATACAATCAGAGATTATGGACAATTATATAAATTATTTTATCAAGTATACAACAAACAAAAGCAATGTCTTCATATAAGTATTTGCATAAATCATTAATAGTTATGAGGTAAACAGTCAACTTGTCAACAATCAATTGGTAAATGTGTTAAAATTTTAGGTGGATCTGATAGCAGCTAGAGGCATGTATAGTTGACTTCCGAATAGTTGAAAGCGGAATCTATTGTTTACTAGCAGGTACAGTTAGCAAAATCTTAACTACTTTACTTCTTTAAGGACATGGATAACTAACTAACAATAATTTTAGTATTGTACATCCCCCTATTTCTAGGAGACTCAATAACATTTATGAGTGCCAGATGCAGCAAAAGTACTGCAAAATAGGAAATTTAAATTATAACATTTGTAAGTGCCAGATGAAGTGAAAATAGCAGAAAATCAAAAATATATATTTGAATCAGATTCCCAGAAAGAAAGTAAAAGTATTTCTTCTTTCAGGAGGACTCAGCAACACCCATCAACTTGTTGTCTCCTACATGATTCTTAGAGACAGTATAACATTTCTAAGTGAAAATGCTGGAAAATAAAATAAATAAATTTTGATCAAAACTCAAGAAACATACTAAAAGTATTTCATTCTTCAGGAGGATTCAGATACACCCATGAATCTACCATTGCCTTCTACATGATTCTACTATGAAAATACGAGAAAATTAATAAGATGAATTTTAATTTTAAACAAAGGCACAAGGTAATGATGACCCAACAGCACATGCAGATCCTTTGTTGCCTTATGTATGAGCATTTTTATTGCAAAATTGGGTAGGGGAAGAGGGTTATGCACCTAGAAATATAGAAAATGTTACGTTATTCAGATTTTGGAAATTTTCGCATTTTCTGCCCACAATTTATCAGACAACCAGATATACACTTGGTGTGTATGTTTGGTTGCTGACCATAGGGGTTACTATGTATATGTGTGTGGCACTGCTACAATTTATTTTAAAACTTTATTAGATTTGTTCTTAATTATGCAGTTTTCTGAATGCAGAAGGTGCTCCATTGTTTCCTATTGCTATTTCCTGGTTTGGCTAACTTTTCTTTTATTTTTAAATATAGATATTTATATTAATTTATTTATTGATATATATATATAATCTTTCAGCCCTATTTCTACCTAACTTTTCTTGGAACATTGCATTTCTCTCGTTTTGATTCAGAATTATTATTATACTGACTATTTTATCTAATTAAGTTAAATATAAATGATTATATTGAACGTATTTTTTAATTTAATTGAAAATTAAATAAATTGTAGCAACTTAAATATGTATGTGAAAGAACGGTCATTGTGACAACAACAACTGTCACTCTGACAGCTTCTGTCATTTTGACAGCTACTGTCACTCTGACATTACCTTACAAGTTAAATTCAAAGGTCTTTATTGGATTTGCTGTTTATTCTTCAATTCAATTATTAAAATAGATATAATTGATTCTAGAGATACATATGTATGTTGGATATATAATAATTATCGATTAATTAATGCTTTTGGTTTCAACAATTTTCAAATTACTGTAATTCGAAAGAAGTTTATTATTTCATATGTATTATCAATTTTCTTTAACGTGTCTACTGTAATAGTTGTCGCTGTTAAGTGCTGTTAAGGTGAAGATCTTCGACGAGCAAGTCTTGACTTGAAATCACCTGTATTTGACATGCAATGCAGTTTTATCTTGCAGCAAAATTAAATGTATATACGTAATTATTTCTGTTCATAATGAAGATTGAATTGCTTCAGCTGTATTTATTATTTATTTATCTTCCAGTTCAGTAGCATTATATTTATTTTCAATCTTATAATGAGTCACCTGTTAAAATAACATCTAAGAGGTAACAGCAGTGGCGTAAGTTCTTCACTCACAGAGAGTTCCGATTTCCCAAATACTTGATCTATTAATAACGTTTCCTAATAAGTGTTATAAATACAGATAATTTTAACATTATATAATAACATTTCAGATATAATTAATATAATTCTTTAGATAAAGGAAGATCCACCCTCTTGCGTTCATTGGTTACGCCACTGAAAAGAACCTTGCGAACCAATGAAAAGACGACCATCAGCGCCGCGTATAGTGCAGAACCGCTACTCAAACTATATACAAGTTTCCATACCAACAAGCGCAGTAGAATAGGTGTAGCTCATCCTTGTAGTAGTCATTTCATGTGTTTCTAGTGTTTATTATTTATTTTTTGACCCCACTTCTTGTTTTGAACTAACACCTTCGTCCTCCGAATTCACCTTTCAAACAATCCGGCCCACACCTGACTTCCCCCCTCACAAACACAACAAATCATTTTCCGCATCTTGAAAGCCCAGTTTCCTTTGTGAGCGAAGTTTGATGATAAATGTTGCAAAGACGAAACGGTCAGCGCGAAGAGCACACTCGATGGAATAGCGACGACATAACCCCAGGCAAATGACCACAGCCAGCAATAATGTATAACCTACAGAAGAAAATTTTCTTGGAGAACTATAAGAATCTGGAGGAGATCTCTGGTCTGGACTTCAATTCTGTCCTTGATGTCCTCTTCTGCAAGAAAATCCTGGAGCTGAATGAATATGAAGCATACTTTAGGCAGAAGGTATGAAATGTTGATTTTGTTTGTCTGCATTTCGATGGAATTTCAAACTTTTCATTGATGTTTTCCAGAAGCCACGGCAGTCAATGTTCCAGGACATCAAATCTAAATTGCTCGGTGCAGAGAAAGGCTATGAAATTTTTCAAATGATCTGCCAGCAACATGGGTGCTTCGATGACTTCACAGACTATAAAATTAACACAGACTATGATGATGCCATCCTCAGGGGTAAAATCATTTCACTGCCAAACCACTATGTGCCAAGAACAAATCTTGTAAGTATTTTTCATTACTTTTTCTCTTTCATAAAGCAAATCAATATGTACTTTCATTCAGAAATATCTTAATTACTTTAATCAAAACATTAATTTTCTATAAATTCTTATACTTTTTCTTTAATATACTCTAATTATAATTAAAATATATAAAATTTAAAACACACAATAAGCATATGAATTTGAGAGACACATTTGAGATGCTTTTATTACTAATGTGAATAATTAATCTTATTTTCTTTATTAACGCTTGAAAAATAACAATAACAGAAATGGATGCAAAAGGTATGTATATAAATATATATATATATATTTTAGATTTTGTAATTTGAAGGTCATTAGTTCTAGCACATTATTATTAATACAAAACTGTTGATAAGCTATCATCAGACAAATTTCCTGGATTTTGTTTAATTACAAAACAATAAAGGATAATTGTTTTTAAAAATATTATACATGTTTTGATGAACGATCTCTGTTGTATTCAAATTAATTCAATGATGATGAAAACAAGGGATTCCTAAATCATTTGGAAATCCATATTTGTCGTGCGTTTCGTCACACGGCTAGACTTTAATTACATGTTTTTTTCTTATTGTTTTGAATGATTTAGTATAATCTGCATTTTGGTGAGCAATCTCTTAATAATTTCCATTGTATTTATAAGCAGTAATGTGTATATTATGTAATTAATTCTATATATGAAATGTCCAGTGAACTTGAAATAGCAAAACGCGAGGATTTAAGTATGTTGATAAATAGCTATGATATGTTCATATAATTTGGGAATTCAGCAGAATAATACGAGGATTTTTGCAAACGAAATGGGAATTCTTATTTTTTTTATATTTGAATTTTATGAAAACATTCGTAATTATTCTGGAAATATCTATTTGTCAGTCGCGCGCTGTCTCGTCAAACGTTTTGTTTTGCGCCTCCTTTATAGACTGTTTACACGTTCATTTTTATTAATTGTTTTATTTGTGTACAGCATGTATTTATTATTTATTGCCTCCGAACTGTTTACGTTACACGAGTTTTAATTGGAAATGGGATTGAGTTCTACTGCGTTTCAACTGCTCCTCCACCAAGTTAAATGGTTCGAAGAAGGAACGCGCGGGATTCTTCATCTTTCTCCTCTCCACATGACTCACCTTTCTCTTTCTTTTACCTGAGTCATATGGCTTAAGTCTGTTGCGTTACGTCTCCGATGAACCAATAACGTACAATGCAACGACTCGCTTTTGTCTCGCACACAGTCATTCCGAACAATACGAAAATAAATAATTAATTAATACACAAAATGGCACAAGGAAAAAAAAAAGAAATGGGCTAAATGCAATTAATTAACGGAAATGTCCTGCTTCGTTTTTTGTCCATATTATCTATTTAAATTGTATTATTTTAACTAATAGCAATTTAAATGATAAGTAGTTTGAATTAGTCACCTTGTTTGCTTTATACCACGTTTGTGCATGTTTGAATTGTAATGATTTAATCCAGCTATTTATCCTGTAGCTGTTGTGGGTTTTGTAGGTCAGTTATGTAATCATTTATTTGCTTTTGTTGCAGTTAAATAAGCTCAAAACGGCGCTGAAGAATATGGTCAGCGATCGCAATAAGGTGATTGTCCATGGGATGATCGGATATGGGAAGTCCGTCCTGGCTGCCTCTTCCGTCCGGGATAGACAGTTTATGCTGGAGGAGTTCGGTAATAACGTGCACTGGATCAAAGTGGGAAAGATTACTGGAGACGATACCGACAAGATTTTGAATCTGATGTACACGTAAGTAATTGAGCAATTTTATACCTCCCATTTAATATATTAAATATGTGTGTGTGTGTTTGTGTATTTCTCAATCTAATTCGTAGCGCACATATATTTGTTGGGTATTGTTTTTCGTAAATGGATTTGGATGCACAAGTGCATACTGACCAGCTGTAACAATTGTAACGTTAATTAATATTTACATTCCATTTTTTTTTGTGTGCTTTATGTTGTGGTTGCAGTTTGTATGACAAAATATTAATAAACACAACTGGGGAAATGATCCGAATGCTAACAGAGATGCCTCAGTCGTTGGACATAATGCAAAACAATCTACTAGCACTGCTTAGGATCGAGTCCTATCGGAAAACCTTACTAATACTCGACGATGTGTACGACGCGAAGGTGATCCGGTATTTCGATGTGGGCTGCAAAATGCTGATCACGTCGCGCGAGAAGATTCAGTGGCAAGGCGGCAGCGTGCAATACATCCTTGTTGACGATGGATTTACTCTGTCGGAGAGCCTGGAGATCTTCAAAAAGTCCTTGAACATCGAGGAGATCGACGAAGACGTGTACAACGAGCTGTATGGTATTTACATCGACTGCATGGGCGATCCGATATCGATCAAGCATTGGGCCGAACGCGTTGGGAACAAGAAAGACGCTTTCCTTGCTAATCCGAGAGCCTATCTGGACAACCTCTACACGATGAACCCTAAAGACTCGTTAGTTTCCTGTTCTCGTCAAGCGCGTTTTCATGACTGATGTATGTTGTTTATTTTAGATGGAACAAACATCGTTTCGCCGAGCTTAAGTCTTGGTACCAGACGCTGGATCCGCAGACAGGCGTTAAGTTTCTGGATCTGGCCATCTTCTTACGCGAGAGTAACATCCCCGCCGGCGTTTTTTCGAAGTTATGGTCCTCCGACAACGTGCTGGACATACTCGAAGATCTGGAAGCCAAGAACTTTATCACGTCGAAGTACGCCCGTCGATGCGGCACTTACATCTACGGAGTGCATCACGTCTACCTGGACTTCTTGCGGACTCAACAAACGGATCATAACATCCAGAACACGCACAAGAAGCTAATCGCGGCTTACAAGAATTCCGCTGGAGGAGACTTCGCCCGGATGGTCAACGACAACTATATCTACCATTTCTTTGGACACCATCTCTCGCACGGTAAGATGTTCGAGGAATTCAAGGTGTACTTGAATCTCTACTTTTTGGAAGCCAAGATAAAAGCCACAGGGCCAACATTGGTGCTCGAGGATATCGACACCTACAAAGAATTAATTTTCGACTATCAGGTAAACGTTTATTATTTGTTTATTCAATAACAATTACCAAATGTTCTCTTTATTTAGGATCAAAGCATTCATTTGCAAGACCTTCAGTGTTTAGTGATGATGTACGGGCAAACTTTGCACGATCACAAACAGACTTCAATCATACAATACGCGTTGATGATGCAGAAGGATAGTTGGGTTTACAAGGAGGCAAGCAGATTGGCCGCCGATAATAGACTATACTTTGACACCGAGTAAGTACAACTATCTCATGCACATTTCTAAGCAATTGATTAACTTTTCTCAAATTCAGAACGTTTCATAAGACGAACTACTTTTCGTACGACTTTAAATTAAATGACTCTTTCCGAGTCGCCTGCTTCGCTGGTCATCCATCCGAAATTCTCGTGGGCACCACGAAAGGAAATATCGAGGTTGGTTCTATTATCTAAAATACATTAATATTATTATTATCAGTATATATAAGTTGTCTAAATATTTTTTAGCTGTGGAAATTAACGCATAAGGATAAACAGTTGACATTCAAAGGGCACTCTGCGGAGATAGTGATCCTAGTCTTGAACAGTCAGAAGAATAAGGTGCTTTCAGTCTGCGCCGATGGTTATTTGAAGATCTGGAATTTATCGACTAGCAGGAACAGCGGAAATTTCGAGCCCAGTAAAATAACGACTGTTATTGATATTGCTAAGCAATTAATCTTCCATTTTTTGCAGATGGAAATTCGTTTGTGAATTCCCCTCGGAGGGTGCAGGACGGTTACCAGATGTTCTTCGGGGATGAGCTGACCATCAATCACTGCTACCTGCAGCTCGATCCAGTTGATAAGGATCGCATTATAACTGCTGCATTCGCGAAAAACGCTTCCGAGTTGTACGTAGTGGGAACCGAGAACGGCGTGTTGAAGATACCTCATCTCAATCTGGAGTGGAAGTTCGACGAGGCCGTCAAGTCTGCTGTTTTCGTGATGGACGATGTGCACGTCGCCGTCAGCGTGGCTGACTGCATATACCTGGTGAACGTTCAGACGAAGGTCATGGACTGGACATTATCCAATGCCAACGATGAGATCAGGAGATTGTATCCGTTTGCAACGACGAATCGAGCCGGTCTCATCTCCGTTCACGACAGCTACTACAAACAACTCACCTGGAAGGCGACTCTTATGCCTGACAATACGTATAACATTGCGGACCTTCAACAGGAGCAGGAGTTCTTGAGAAGTCCAGTGAAATGCAGCACGATGGTGAATAATATGTTGATCATGAACAGCATCGAGAACCGCATCAACATCTTCAACCTGAGTTCCAATCAGCAGTTCGTGGAAACGTTGAACTACCGGAGGATGGGAGTGGTTTGTTTGGATGCGACTATCAGTTCGGTGGAGATGGTCGTACTGTTGAGCGGCTTCGAGGATCAGATGTTAACGTTGTGGCACGTGAACCCGAAGAAATCGAGCGTCAAAGGTGTGGATAATAATCGTAGAAAGTCTGATGTGCATAAGAACGAGATCTTCGCTACGCGTTGGAACCCTCAAATGGATATAGCTCTGGTAGCTCTGGCCACCAAGGACAATTGCTTGCAGATCATCAGCGAACACAATCTTCTTACGCAGATTTCGGTGGATCACGTCATCACTAAGATCACTTTCCACAGGTCAGACGATGTCGTGTACTACGCATTGGAAACTGGCAGTGTTTTCATGTTCGACATCAAGCAAAATAAGAAGCGAAAACTGTTTAAAATGAATGGTACTGTGGAATATCTGGACTTTCAGATGTCGTACCTGCTCTGCGCTACTGACATTGGTTATTTCAAGATATACAACACCATCGATGGCAAGATCAACGAGTTGCTCGACCCGCAGCGGAATATGGTGGTTATTCAAGCATTTCTCATGGACCAGCAGGTTGTGGCCGTGATGAAGCGACAGACCACTGTCTGCTGCTGGAATTTATCTAACATGAAGATGCGTTCGATATTCAGCCACGGGGATTACAATAACTCCGACACGACCACAGCCTGCTCGAACTATTGCGAGAATGACCGCACCACCATGATTTGCGTGCTCAGCAACACGTTCTTTTACGTCCTCGAGGTTGTGCGGATCGGGCTTTTCCCAAAAGCGAGCATCTTCAAAACGCACAATCAGAAGGATCAATTACGCTGCTGTCAATTCTCCAAGGATGGCAACCACTTGGCAATTGGTAGCCAAACTGGTAAAACCTATGTAAGTATTAATTATAACATTATTCAGTGATCATTTTATTTTAAAATCTCATTTTCTAGGTTTGGAATCTGAAGGAAAATAGTCTGATAACGTTGGTCTTGCAGCCAAACGCGTCGCCAATCGAGAGCCTCCAGTTTTCTCAGTCTTGCAATTTGATTCTGGTCAGCGTCAGCGATCAAATTGCGTGGTGGGATTTAAGCAACAGGTTTGTTCTTAATATCCATCACTTTTTGCATTTACAGAAATATTAATCAATTATTTTCAATTGCAGTAGAACGAATTCGATCGTCAGTCGGAGTGATCAACTAATTGGAGATACAACAAACAACGAGGAATTCCAATGGGAAAAAATCGGAACCGTTGACGGTACACCCCATCTCCTCTCGTTGATCAAACTGCAGAGTCACAGATCCGTGAAGCATTTCAGCGCTTCGAGGAACTTTACAAAGTTCCTGGCCATCGACAACACCGGCGAAATCTACAAGTTTTCGCCCCGCAAGTAACGCTAAATCAAAACAAAACAAAAAACAAAAATTAACGAAATCAAAAAGCCCCATGTCGCTGAAACGTGTGCAATTAAATTTTATCTCGGATTCTCCGGAAGACCGCGAACGGATTTAGGGAATATGCAATTTTTACAAAAAAAAAAAATTGAGAAACTATAAAATGGGAAACCCGAGCGACCTGTTTGTTGATACGTAGAACAATTTATTTTTAAAAACTCTTTAATTATTTATATTACGAAATCGATGAAAGAAATTAATTATTAATATGTTTTACGCGAATTTTTAATAGATAGACATAATTATTAATTGTTTTTTTTTTTTCGTAAGCGCGAGATAAAGATAGTATTTCTTCTTTTTTGTTTGTTTTAATTATTATTGATTATAATAATAATAATCTTAATTAAATATAAGACTGTGATAACGTGGAAGTTCAAAATTTTTTACAATTTGGGAAATCTCCGCGAGGATCGACCACCAACAAGCGATGTTCAGTAGCGAAGTATTAATCATCATTGTTAGTATCAAATTGCAATAATTTCATTTTCTTTTAACTTTCGTTTACTTTTACACATACACATATATATATATTTATATACACAGAAGGGTGTCTAAGTTACCATGGCAACCGATTCGGTCGAGGCAACGATCACGTTGGTGATTTTGTTGTTTAACATTTTCTTTTGTCCTCTTATTACATATATATATATTCTTTTTTTTTCGTGACGCGATTAATTGTTGGTGCGAAATTCTTTCGTTTTTCTATGCATGTTAAATTATTATTAATTAATTGGTTGTATAATCCGAGCGATTCAGTACGCAACACAAAACGCGTACAGAGACAAAGAGAGAGAAATATATGTATATACAAAAAATATTACATATAATGAATACTTCAAAAGTAAAAGACTTATTTTTTTTACTTAGCAATAATACAGTATTTTTTTATATCGACACTTATATACAAAAATCACTTCATTTGTTTTCTACTTATTTATATATAGTATTTAAGACATTTCCACTTAAGTCAAATTGATTCTCATTTTCCGTATGATCCTCAACTCAACATATACAACTATTATTATTATTATTTTTTATAAATATATATATATATATTATAATAATTTTGTTTCGTATGTTCCTTCTTCGGGTCAATTCGGTTGTTTTTTTGATTGGAGAAAGCGACTCCGAAGTGTCGGAATACATGCATTAGCTTGATTGTGGAAGCTATGCCTGGAAATGCAAACCTAGTCCAGTTTTGCTCAATATTTATATTTTGTTTAAATATAATTATTACAAATTTATGTGAATTGAGAGCAGAATTGTGCGCGCGCGTTGCTCTCTCTCTCTCTACAATTGTTATTATTGCAAATCAACGTGTTTTTACTTATTATATAGAGAAAAGAGAAATAATGGCTCAGAAAAAAAAATACAAGACGAAACAAATTTACTTATGTAGTCGACTTGGTGATATTGTTTAGATTTATTTTATTATATATAATATATATATTGTCTACATTATTATTTTTTATTATTATTATTAATTATATCAATATATTTTCTTCATTGCAACTATTTATTTACTTTTTTCACCAAAATGCAATTAATTCAAATTTTATTTAATTAGGTTTCCAAGACACATCGTATTGATTGTCATTCCAAATTAGCATCGATCAGATCGACTCCTTCCTCTTCCTCCTCCTCTTCTTCATCATCCTCCTCTTCATCTAATTCCAACGCGACGTTCTCTTCCTCTATGGTTTCCTCCTCGACTTCTTCCATAATCTCCTCCTCTTCATCCGAAGCGTGATCTTCGAAATCGCCGCGCCGATTGCGGTCCAACTTTCTTTTGATCTTGTGCAGAACCTCGTCGGTAATATCAGTCTCGCGCAAATCCATCCAGCACAGCGTGTTGTTCAACATCATTCCTTCGAGAATATTCTATAAAAAAAAATATAAATTTCATTTACAAATAACGAATCTAATAACGCAGGACTGCTACTTTTTCGCCAGGCAAAAGCCAGTTGTTGCTGACGTCCAGCATCTTCAGATTCTTGTGCAACTGAAGCACCGCACCAAGACGAATTGAAGTTTCATCCTCGAAGCCGCATCCGCTGATTATCAGCTCCTCCAGCCGATTGACACGCACAAGCGCGCGGAACAATCCCATAATTCCTTGGTGACCTAGAGGATTCAGTCTTAAATCGAGATGCTTGATGGGGCAGCAGTTGTCTTGCATGAGCGCGTATCCGATCCCTTCGCCGCCGATGGCGCCAATCTTGTTGTATGTTAAAACGATTTTGCTGAGGGCTGCGTGCGACATCATCAGCTTGGCGATGCAGAGAGTGCCTTTGTCGCCTATAAGGCAGTACGAGAATCGTAGTTCCTCCAGAGATGCAATTTTAATTAAAAACTTTGTCAAAATCTGAATGTGCTTATCTTCCATCGAGCTGTTATGAAGGCTGAGTACTCGCAGCTTCTTCAGGTTGACGAGGGCCGTTCCTAAACGTTTCGCATCGTCCAAAGAGACTTTAAACATCTGCCATTTAAAGGATTCACCCACGTCTTTAGTGCCGAAAGATATATCGATTTCTTCGATGAACGAGAGTCGCCTGAAGATTGGCTCCATGTTGATGTGGTCCACGGGATAGATCTCCGGGATTTCGTCCTTCTCCTGAGTCAACGGCGGCCTCCAGCACTGCAGTTGCGTGATGATCAAGCGATGCACGTAGGTGTGGATCAGTGTAGTGATTTCCTCCATCGTTTCTTCGTCGTTGTACTCTGGCTGCGCCTTCTCGACCAGCTCCTGCATGTGATTCTCTAAGTACACGCATTTCCAAGTCCAACCTTCGTGCAATCGCTGCGACATCACTCCGTACGTATCCGTGAATCGTCTCTTCCAATAAATTTCATCCTGCAACGACATCATAAACCATCACAATTTTGAGTATTCAAATAGCAAATTCGTTGTTACCTCTATTAAAGGTACAACCAACGAAAGCGGAAGATTTGTGGGAAGAATCTCTAGAAGGTTGTCCCGATCAGCGCACAACAACAGATCATTAATTAACGGGTACTGCTCGAAATTGTTGCCAATGCAGAGGATACAGAGTGCCACCAGAGTTTTGGTCTTGTCATCCGTGCGCGTGATGTCTTCGGAGATGAGCACGCGATCGACCTCATCCAGAAGCTCCCTGGTAATTTGCGACGGATCATACTCGATGTAAGTATTCTGATTTATAATATACGGTAATCTCATTGTGCCAAAAAAAAAACAAATATAATGTACAAACGAGAATAAATAGAAAAAATAATTATATTTGACACTGATCAATGTCAGACCAATTGATCATTGTTGAAGTTATAATATCGATGTGAAGATACATATTTCAATCATAAAATGTTTTTATAATAATAACTATAGTTTATTTATATATGCAGTGACGATTTCAATAGAATTATTTTGAAAAAAGGGGTCAATTAAAGTAGTTCACGATTTACTTGGAAATTCTTTTTGAAAGAAACAAACAAAAGGAATGTAAAGGCTATTTAGTTTCATAGCGGAGTCGCCGGGTTCAGTTTGTGAAACGATGTTTTATGCTTTAATTAGCATCGTTTTGTGTTAGCATATTATATAATGAAATAGCATTATAATGTAATGGAAATTGATGACTTAATACTTGGAAAATGTTGTTGTTTTTCTGACTTCACGTTCAGTATTGTAATTTGCTATCGTTTTGGGTTAAGAGTAGGTCTTTAAAATAATTGCCGATTTTGCTTGGAAATTCTTTTTGAAGGTTGTAAACAAAGGAAATGCAAAGGATATTTAGTTTCACGTCTATTTATATGTGTGTATATAGTGGAGTCGCCGGGTTTGGTTGATGAAAAACTGTATTCATGCCTTAATTAGCGTCGTTTGTAGAGGAAAATAAGGCTTCTTCCCTTTTCCTCTTTCACTATCTTTCTCCCTTTCTACATATATATTTTTATTCTTGATATAAGATATGAATTTTTCGTTTCTCTTTGGAGGGAAAGGAAAATTTGTTCGGGGTTCCCATTAGCGTGAAACGCGAACAAAAGACGACGAATGAAAGCGTTGTCACGTCTACGCCGGAGGACAACGTTTCCGGTTATGATGGCGGAAGTGGTTAGTCCGGGGCCATTTCCTTTCCCCGTCGAAAACCCTCGCACATAAAGGCAGGTACGAAGAAGGGAGAGATTGAAAAGGGCTTTAACGCGATGGGACCGTAACGTAGGTCGGATAGGAGCTACCCTACCTATCTGCCCACCTTTTCAGGCCAGGACACCAGGAGGACGGACGATGCTGGGCCTTTCTGATCCGGCCCTTCGGGGTCGATCTGGACGTGTCTCGATCGACGCCGAATGCGCGCTCCCGGAGCGCCGATGGGACGCGCGTCCAGTACGAAACCGACGCCGACGACGCAGCGTCGCTTCATCCGATCTCTCGTTCCTCTCTTCCACTCTCATCTGTGTGCATCCTGTGCGCTCCCTTTTTATTTCCCCCCTTAATAAAAAGAAAAAAAATAATATATATATATATTAAGAGAGAGAGACAGTCATCTTTAATTTCACCCGCGTTTCTTTTTCGGTGAAAGTACTTCTTCTTTGGTTTCCTGCATCTCCGTGACAGTGTGTGTGTATGTGAGTGCCGTCGGGATGAATTGCATCGTTTGAATCGCGAGGCTTAGCTGAGGAGGTAAATGATTGCTCTTAATCCGTTCTGCATCCCATTTTACCCATCACATCACCCCCACATTTCCCACTTTCAATTACCACAATTATTTCACATCATCATACTACATTATTTATCAACGCAATTTATATCACCACGACTTGCGTAATCGGAGACAAAAATAAAACGAAAACAAGAAGGAAAAAAAAAACCGTTAATTGGAAAAATGTGTCGCATCTTCTGCTCCCATTTATACGCATCCAAACATCGGTTCTCCTTCACATTCACATCATCAATCATCTAAAACTAATAATAACAGCTTAATTTTTACAAATCAAATGTTGCAGTACACAAAGATATTTCTACCCACAAATTAGGCTTTATAAAAGAAATATTAAACCAAATTACCAATTTTATCATTTATTATTCCCTTTATCGCACAGATTTCAAATTTCATAAGCTACAAAATGGTGGTAGAAATATTATTAAAAGATTACCATTAATCAATCAATAATAAAATCAATTTTATGCAAAGATTTATTAAAAGTTGAAAAATTCAGGTAGAAATAAGTATTGTAATAATTAAAATCATTGATGAATGAACGTGACGATCTTTTAAATACCTTCTTACTACTGTTTATTTGAACTAAATCTGGTTTCCTCGGATTCGTTCATTATCTTTGATTCTCAAACAAAGTGGACTTAACTCATTGTAAGACTGTTTTCGCAAGATTGCTTTCATTCCATAATTCTTTTAATTTATCGAATATTAATTTAACTTAATTCACGATCTAATTGCGATAACGTGAAAACCGACGGTATTCGATCGGATTTTGCGAATATGCAATTTGCGAAGCTGAACCGTATTCCACGAATAATGGGAAAATAAACAACTGACATACATTTCAGCGGTTCTCAGAGTGAACGGCATTATTTCGAGCAAATATTATCGTAGAAATCAAATTTAAATTGCGACTCGGAATTTCATTAGTTTCGTGGCTGAAACGGATCCATTGACGACGGAACAGATGTTTCATTGCTTGTTGTCAAGAGTCGTCCCGAGGCGTTCTACCTAAATTAATTTCATCGATACAACAACAACAATAATAACAGATTTCAATTTTAGAATTTCATTACTTCTTTCCGAGAAATTTGATCGGCGAATTTGCATTTAATTATATTTGTATTATTGCAATTCGTAACAGTTGCAATTAATTGAAATTATACCTGTTGAAACTTTTGATTATGTATATGAAAATTGTGTGGTGTAAGGTGTAATAATCATGTTGAAGTGAAACTAAAATTGCGTGGGTTTTCAATTAGAGGTGGATCGTATATTTAGCTCGCACTCCGATTTCGCAGCCAAGTAATCCGCACACCGCATATTTAATAATGATGATGAAGATGCACGAGGTGGAGGCTGTAAATTGTCCTTTTTCGTGGAGACGAAGGAAAGTCACTCGTGTGGTCGTAAACCTCGCCGACGACAATCGCAATGATGAGGAGGTACTTTCAGAGCAGACGATACAAAAGGATGCCTGAAGAGAGAAAAGGTGCTCAGAATTGATGATGTGAAGAAGGAAAGAAGGCGGCACTCGTCCGGATTCAGTTTTGAAAACTCGAGAATGTGACCTTAATAAGTCGGTTAATTTAATTACGGCTGGGCGTGTAAAATCAATTGGATTAGGTGCGTGCTTCGAAAAGGAAAAAGGATGGTCTGCAAATTTGCAAAAACAAAAATTTAGCTTAATTCCTTCCGAGAGTATTTTTTTTTTAAAGTAAACAACAATATTTGTTTTATAATTTTGGGAAATGCTATGAAATTCCTCATTGAGCTGAGTGTTGAAAGGGCCCATCCATTCCTTAATGGAACTCATCAAGTATTAACGCCGTAATTCGAGCGATTTATCAACGCTGATATTATACGTCCAATTATCATTCAGCTGTGCTCTTTAATATTTAACAAGCGAGGGAAAAAAATGGATAATCGGAAAATTTCAACCATAAACCGTGAGGAATAAAATAAATAGAGCATAACATAATACAGTGGAACCTCACATAGCGAGCAAAATGAATTGCGCCTTCTACATCATTTTTAAAACTTGTCATCATCATCATTTTCTTTGTCATCTTTGTTTAAAGCGGATTATACTTTGCAAATATAATTTGGATTAAACTCGTTAAGCGAGATTCCACTGTACTAGTAATCATTATATTTTTATTTTATTAATACTAGTCTATAATTTACGAAAGCAACTTTAGATTTTAAAATCGTCAAGTAATACTTATTACTTCTAATAAAGTATTATATGAAAATTAAAGATAAAATTCTAACCTTTTCAATGAGCTTATTGCTAGATTTGTATTACACACCATTCGTCTATTATTATCAATCAAAATTTAGCAATAAAACAAGAGCTTAAATGAAGTATTGTGACTATTTATTTAATTACACGACAATCACGTAAGCTACTTATATTATTGAAAATGTATATCAAAGATAAAACTATACCCTTTCTAATGAGCCCACTACTAGATTTGTCTTATGCATGATTCTTCTGTTACAAGCTGTCAAATTTGAGATACAATTATTTGTATTCGAATGTTTCAAAAACATTTTTTTATTAGATTAATTTGTTTTTATGATATTTAGTTTTTGATTATAAAAGAGTCTTTAATTTAAAAAAAAATGTTTCGTAACAATAATTAATAACTGAAAGCGATTTACCCCATTATTAACACACCATTAAATTTTATTTAATTACTCAATAAGCATGTTCTTAATATTCATATAATTATACAGTCTTTACTTCATAATTATTCGATGAGATATTTCATAAATTACATTCACTATTATTAACTTATATAAATTTGCATGAATGTCGCTGTAAATTAATCCATTATTATTGCACCAATCATTGCATCGCCATTCCACAACAATCCGACCATTGTTTGCATTATTATTGTATAATTATAGCTGTGTCGACGTTGCAGCATTATCACGCGGCGATTATTGTGTAAATTGACTGTCTGAAGCAGCGAAGACCCGGCGCATCCACCTACAATCTGCCACCTGCATTATCTCTCTACCAATTTACTAAGATCACATTTGCATTGTCCTTGTTATTTATTTATAATCAATACGAGAACATCATATGCTAAGTGCATAACTGGAAATTGTTACGAGGAAGTTCTGCAATATTTCATAATCCGCTTTTGATGTTCCTCGGGAAAAGCGCATTTGCAATTAATTACGTTAATTAATTAAATAAATAATCACCAGATGCTCAATCCAAAGTTCACCGAAGCAATTACGAAATTAGTTTTTCTTTTTTTTACAATTTATATAATGTAACAACTTTATTCTTGACATATGCCTACGTTTCTAGTAAAAAATTGTTTGGATACCCGGCGCATCCACCAATTTATTATTTGTATCCTTCAACTAAATATTTTGCGTTTTTTAACAATAAAATTGAAGTTTTAAATGATTCTAAAAATATTATTCGTTTCTCTAAACATTAATCGTATACAAGATGAAAGCAAACGTGTGTACACTTCTTTCTCCTTGCTTTTATTCTCATTCTTCTTTTGCATTGTAGGAAACGCTCGTAAACTTGATTGCAACGACTTTTACAATGAAAACGCCGCTTTCGTTTATCACCGAGCTCACTTTATGTAATTTTATGCAAATGGGGGGAACATCCTTGAACATCCCTCGACTCTAAAGAGCGTCGAATGTGGAGACACCAAACACAAGACAAATATAAATGCAGATGATATTTTATAACGATCATTGCTTTTTATTTGTATCTCTTCGTCTCTACGTAATCTTCGATATGCATTTCGTGCGAAGCTCGCATTCCATCATTAGCACTTAATTAGTGCATCTACGCTCGGAGGCTTCGACTTACACACCGTGAAATTAACGAGCTGTAACTTTGCCGCTTCTGAAAATAAATACAATTTTTTTTTTCAAATGCTGTTACACTTTTATTTTTCATATATGCTGAAAGTAATTTCACTTTCCACAAAGCTGCATTTAAATGGAAACAATTACGTAATGAGTAATGTTATTAAAATATTATATATTCAAAATAAAAGACTGTGAAAATACGAATTGATATTGTATCGAATAATTGAAGCGAAAAGACACAATTTCTTCTCTTTTTTACCTGTGAAAACGGAATATCAATATTTTTGTCTCTGTTTGTGTACCTGTTGCACCTCTATTGTTTCAGAGCTGCGGGTGAATGATGTACATACAATTCGTGTTATTGTAAGTGCACCACACAAAAACGAACGGAAAACAATGGAAAACTTCCGTTTTTATTCATTTTTTATTCTCGAAATAAATTTGTGTACAAGTAAGAAATTTGATATTATCATGAAAGAAACGTTGCTAGTAACAAATTGTAAATATCTGGATCAGTTAAGAATTGCAAAATCAACAGTGAATGAATCAATTAAACGTTTGATTCTTTGGCGTTGGAGAGAGAGTGAGAGAGAGATCAGGAAGATCAATCAATCGGTGCTGCTGGACTTGGAACGGACGGCGGCGCCTCACGTTCTCACGGTGTAGTGGATATAAAACATTTGGTTACTTTTCCATTGTTTAGATTGGAATTTATTTCGATCGTCCATTGGTTTACAGTGGGAAGACTCTTAAAACGTAGAGAAAGTTATTTTAAAGACTTTATTGCAAACGTCTTATTTCTAATATGATTAATTGCAATTTAAGTGAAGTTGTTGATATTATCAATTATTCTTAATTAAGCCGATCTGAAAAACACCTCCTTCCTTCAGGAATCAATACACTATTCTGATCCTGTGCGTGCGTAAACATTCAACCCTCTTCTTTACTGCTCTTAACTGAATTCCGCTTGAAGCCCCGCAGGGAATTGCCGCCTTCATTGGAAGATTTTGCGAATACTTAAATCTCCATTGAAATTACAACTGCGAGGACGCAGTGGGGATCATCGTATGGTAATCCTATCACGCGCACACACTCGACCGCAGAAACGTTACTGTATAAACATTCAAATCCTATTAGTCTTCATTCTTCTTCAATCCTGACCTCCGGGTCCATCAGGATCACTCGTCCTCGTTCCCCTTCTTCTCCAACAAGAAAAAACCTCATGACTCACACAGAAAAATCTATAACCTGATCCCTCCAATCTGCCGCCTCCCATTTCGGTTAGGAAACTGATACTTTTTCACTGCTATCATTATCTTAAAGCACTTTCTCTCGTAAACTGTATAGATAAAACTAAGAGAAATAACATAAACGTATTTGATTACTTATAGCACTTTTGCTAAACTAACACTGATTAATTAAACTTAAAATTTGTCAATTAAAACTAAAATTAAGAATAAACTATGAATGTGTCTTTAAATATAAAATATGTCAATTGAAGTTAAAATTATAGGGGAAATAGCTTATACAGTATTAAAATAAAAACTCATGAAATTATGAACATTATTATTAAGTCTAATTCCATAATAGTTCCGACGATTCTCATTTAAATTTTTAATTTTTTCGATAAAAGTTCGACCGCAATCGAAACCCAATCCGTCATCACGCAATGCTCGAGCCATCTAAACATAGACGTTCCAATAGGAAAAATAAGGATTTCGAATTATTTCCATTGTTTACGCTCATCAAAATCCGTGCTGTAATCCTGTTACAATTTGTCAAATACTACCATTAAAATAGAATTCTTATTGACTTTGCTTTGAGTATAAATGAAAATAATTAATTTGATACTGAAGATTATTAAATTATGTAATAAATTAAAATATTATTGATGGAAGCAGGAATGGTGAGAGTTTCCGGTGCTGATGCGAAGAGCTGTGGGAAATTGTATTGAATTTGTTGCCGCTCCACTCCACAATTGATCCGCGCCCATTCAAATCGCATTCTCCTTTCTTCTTCGTCCACTTTGCAGCATTCGAATTCAATTCATCAATCTGCAACAATCGTATTGTCGGGTCGGATGCATCCCCGCAGACTTTAACTCAAAAACTTTGAGAACCTGTTGAGAAGATGCAACTTTTATGTAAAAGAAATCAAGCAAAAAATTTCAAAACAAGAATATAAGTTTATTTGAGTGTAATTTGTCTGTTTTGATATATAACAATGCAAAGATTTAAGAATTTAAATTAGATCTTAAGTTCTGCAGATCAGAGGATAGTTCGTAAATCAAATAGGAGGACGAGAATAAAGTTGTGTAACGTTCGCATTCAATTATTTGATTAAAACTTTAATGGTAATGAATACGTTTGGAACGGTGATTCGTATTCCGTGGAGGAAAGTATGAACCGCGATCGATTGTATTGACACAGTTCTCCTAGTCGGCCACTTTATTTCTCTTTGTTTCCGCGGTTTGTTGTTACATCCTCTTTCCTCCTTCTGTTTATACAAAGCCCCGCGTAAATATGGGGTGCCAGACAAAGATAAACATGCGGCAATTGACGGGAACGGAAAAGTTCTTAGTGTAAATAATTCATGGACTAATTTAAAAAGTTGTCCCGAAGGAAGCTGAGGGAACAACTGTGTGTATGTGTGTGTGTACATGATCCTTGCTGCAACAGAACCAAACTTTCCCAATCTCTTTCAAATAATCAGAAGTATTATTTTCTTTATAAAAGAAATGCTCTTCAGCTTGGAAGTGTTAATTTGTCTTCTTCCATTTTTCCACCGCGACGGTTCCGGTGAACGGAAGACGAGAATATAGACACGTTCGCGTTTCAGGCAGATGTGACCTTTTGTGACCTGCCTCAAAAATCGATTTATCCGTGTCGCTCCATCTCGCTTCGCTACGCGCATTTCCGCATGTGTTTTTCTCCTCACTTTTCCTCTTTTCCTCCTTGTTATTGGCAGTGCGAAGCGACTCAGTGTAATGGCTCGAGGCACGGCCCTCCAGGATGAATGAGGTGCGATTGCTGAAACTAATTTGAATTCTAAATCACGACGATTGTTCTCCGCTCTCGGATCCACAATCTGATGCCTTCATCTTCGAGCAAAAGAAAAACACGTTGCATAATCCAATAGGATTTACTAAAACTATAAATGTTGATCATTGATAATCCTATTTTATTTATTTTTTTCAGATGGAATCAGGAGGTGCGGATGCTTATGGATGTACTGTAAATGTCGGTGGAATCGAGACGTTGATCGAGATGTGAGTCGTTTCTTTTGGACTTCTTCGGAAAGATTTAGAGACGATGATGATGATGATGTGCTGATTATGGTGGTGAGGGCTGAGATGGTGTGTTAGGTCGTGGGAGCGCCTTTTAGGAGGCCCCGGGTGATGAACCATGGGCTGCGGTCACAGCAAGATCAACATATACCCAAAACGAAGTCGCAACAAGAACTGCTCCAAGAAGTCAGGTACAAATCCACAACTTTTCATTACAATTACATCACTTTAAATACAATTATATAAATCAAAATTTATATAATAACAAAATAATTTTCAATAATTGTGTTTGAAACAAACATGTTTAGTCTACTAAATTTATCTATTTAAAATTACATAGATTTGCTTTCAGTTTAAGTGTTGTTGATCATAAATTTCGTCTATTAGAACTTCCAACTCTCTGACCACTATTTAGATCATCTAGATGTAAAAGTAGGAAGACCCAACAACCCATTAAACCTGCAATCGTTTTTAAGTGCTTCCCATTCCGATTCGTGCGTTGCAATGGATAATTGCATCCTGAGCCGGTGGACACCTGTCACTTAATTATCATCATTCGATCGTCCTTCATCTTCCTCGCAATCTCCCCGGTTCTTCTTTTTTTCTCTCTTGTAATTAGTAATTTGATTATTTATTAGGGTCGATATACTTGCCGTCCGCGGTGCTACCAGTGGCGGAGGGCGGCGGTGGCGTCGCCTATAAATAGATCCGAATGTGACGGAAGACCGCACGCAATTTGATGTGGAATCTATAAATATTGCCGCTCGTCGACCGGCCCAACGCCTGCCCCTCCACCATTTCGAATACAACTCTTTTTTGTTCACCATGTAAATCCATCATCTAAACCTATAATTTATATAAACCGCGCAATAAACGAATGTTTAGAGACGTGCCAAAAATGGAAGAAATTTGAACTGTTGATTGTTTGGCTCCGTTTCCAACCGAAAGCCCACATTAACTTTACTCTTCCAACAACATTTTTTGAAGTTCACCGTTTCATAAAATTTGCTATAATAAAGAATTTGAAGATTCATCAGAAACAGATTTAGATTACAGCATTATACAATTATTTTATTACACTCTACAGCAAGGAAAATAAAGTTTCTTAAACATCCTTTAATGATTAATCAATCACAATTCTTGAACAAATCGATCCGGAATAAATGTATAATTCAAACGAAAATTATCTGCGCATCATCTAATAATCGATATTCCATTAATTATTTACTAATTTGAAAAAAAAAGAATTACGTCAGTTATTGTCCGATCAAATTGATTGACATGTTGTCAGTTGATTCGTTTCACAAATAATAGATTCTCTACAAACGCTTTATGTTCTTCCCCCTAAGATCTCCAGTTTCTCACACAAATTCTATTTATATATAAACCCTTTCATTCAAATATAACCATAATTTTATTTCCTTGTTGTTAATCTTGTTTGCATCGTTTCTAATTACCGATGCAAATGATGATGGAAGTGGAATTAATGCTAGATGAGATTAATTCGACGAGAGGTCTATGTTAAGATTGGTCTGCATCGATTGGTCTTGTATAATTGTCATGGAAACACGCGTCGTCTCGTTTTCACCCAATCAGAGCTGCACATTAATTGGATTTACTTGGAAACGACTGTAAATAATTGAGTTTGCAATTAGTATTAATACTTACTCATCGTAATCCCAAATTTAATTCACGTCGTTATTTTTGGGAACATATCGTTTTTTTTTTTGTGAATTTATTTTCATAAGCGTTTCCCCTTCAGATCTCTTCAGCGCGTTTACATCAGTAGTAAAGACAACATTATATATTTTTCTACAATTTCTAAAAATACGTCTCTCTTTTTTTTTGAATCCACAGCTTTCAATTTCTAAATTTATATTTTGAATCCAATAATGAAATTTTATTAAAAAAAAAAACAAATTAGTCTTGTATTTTTATTTTAATCGAATGAAAAGCAAACATCCGCACAACTAATTAGAATTGCAAAAACAAAATTAACGCTTCGCTCCTGGTTCGGAAAATAACAATGTGTTTTTCAGTTTTGCAAAATTGTGCTCATTTGTGCACAAACACACGCAATAACAATGCGACGCCGAATTTCAACAATGCAGACATTATTATGCAATGCCGTGCGGATGTGCAAATTTATAAAAACAGATGTATCATAACAACTGTATCATGTTTAACGTGAAACCGAATACGGTCGAAATCCAGTAATTATCGTTTTTAATTAACGCCGGCTTCGCGTTCAGTAGTTCTCATCGCAATTACAACAAGAAATAGCAAACTCTAATATTTCATTAAACATATACCTAATTCTAAATTTACATAATTTTATTAAACTCTGTGGTCTGGGCTTTGGTGCAATCTGTAACTGGAAAAGAAACTTTTTTTTGTTCTTACTCGAAGTTGCTTATTACATTATTTTTTTTCTTTTGTAACTTTGTTATAAATTTGGTCACGTAACAATCGAAAGTAGTTAGAAAAAGTTGAAAGCGGAGGGGACGAACTTCGTTTGTCCTCTTGTTTTTTCTTTGGTGCGGACTTTTTTTCGTTCCCCGGATTCCGGGATTCTCGTGGCAAAAGCGCAAAAATTATTCGGCATATTTCATTTATGTAACAAAAAAAATGAGAGGGAAGCATTACAACAAGAACAAAGAATAAACCAAAAAAAAAAGGATGATATTTCTGAAACTTGCTGAGGATAAAATTAGAGTAATTTAGATGTGAACGGAAGGATTATTATGTGTATCGCATTTGTATGCAAACCGTGCGCGTCCTCCTAAAATCAATAGCGTATATTAAAGGATCCAGGCGAAGTTTCCAAAATTTATTCAAAGCTTACTCCCGGCATCAACGGATATAACGTCTATTTAACGTCGTGAATGCAAGGGAGGAGATACTTTAATGCAGAGTAATACGTGGATTCGGGTCGGTTTTTGGTTCGATAGTTTCGGTGGAGGCAAGAAGTATATTATATGCGCGCTGTGCATCGAAAATGCTTTAATAATAATAATAATAATCGGAAGGATCAGGATTTGTGGGTCAGGCATTGTCGAATGAATATTTGTAGCTGTTGAAAGAAGTTATTGATTTCTTTGTTCTGGTAGATGATGATCATATATAAGTATACATTATTGAATTGGGTCGATGCTTTCGCGAATTGGAACTGTTGCACGTACGAACTACACGCTTTCGTTTTTCCCTGTGGAAAATTGGCGATGAGAGCTTGGCTTTTCCGCAGCTCGTTGCGAACGCCAATAACCAGAGGATTTATTACAAACAAGACAATCGTAACGCTCGCACTTTATCGCGCCGCGCTCGAGGCGTGAATAGAAAATGAATATATTCTACCTGTTGATGTTGATCTCTCTTTTCGTTAATTGATTTTTTTTTTCCTTACAGTTATCCCGGAGAAGTGCCACAATCAGGTGGATCAGGAGGGCTGCGCGAACGGCGAGGCCGAGTCCGGGATCTGCGAAAAGACCGACGACGCGGACCGTAAAACCATCAAAGTCAAACCTTTCGGAGGACCTTTACTAGCTCACACGTAAATATCGTAATCATAAAAGAAACCTTAACTTCTTTTCTTCCACCCTCCCATCGTTATTCTCTCTAAATGCCACGAAAACGTTTTCGTTTAATAGCTCCACAAAAATTGAAATTTCCTTGAAAATATACTAATAGTTATATCTTCTGGTTTAGTGAACTGTCCACAAGTCAGAACAACTTCTTCAAAATGCTGGATGACAAAATCGAGAGTGTAAGTTGACTTGTTCTACATTATTATTGAATACACTTGTTAATAATATAAACTACACCAGTTGTTGGTTATTTTTAGATGTTATTGAAGTCTACTTGGAATAAGTATTTCAAAGACGTCGTGACATCTTGAGCCATTGCATCTGGATGCTTTATATTTAAAAATTTTAAATAAGTTTTCTCCGTTGTCAGTTTTAATAAACTAATGAAATATAAATTATCTATATTTGAGTTTGCTTTGTGTTGTTAGAAACTGGGTCGTTTCTACAGATTGTAAATATCTTCAATGTTTGAAAGGAAATATTGTTGGTGAATTATTGGTATTTGTTATTGGAAATGTTCTTTTGATTATTAGCATGTTTGCCGGATGCAGGAGCTTTGCAGGAAGCGGAGAATAGGTGATTTATGTTTTTGGTCCTCAGGGCGCGGATTACGATTCCGGAAGCGAGTACGAAAGGGCCATGGAGCAGGCGCGCCTCTCGTCTTTGCTGAAGGACTGGGAGACGGCTAGTTCCGGTTCGAGGTCGCTACCGTCGACGCCGAAGAGACGACCTCCGGCGAAGATCACCAGGATCGCAGCAGCAGCCGCGGCGACGGCTGTCGCATCCTCCGATGTGCAGTCGCAGCATCATCCGAATGCTAATCCGTATATCGAGCAGAGGATCTACAATCCACACTACTACAGCAGTCCCTCGCACTACGCCTCTGCCATGCAGTACCAGGCCATCAGTCCCATCTACCCCCAGAACTACTATCCGCCCCGTCAGTACGGTAGTCCGGTGAAGAGCTACTCGTCGACGACGACGGCTTCCTCAGCAACAGCAGCAGTTTCCACATCCTCGTCATCCCCTAAACACATTCCATACGATACGCAGGGCTACGCCCCGAACCACTACGTCGCCCCGTCGCAGATGCGCTTCACCAACGGCGATCTCATACAGCAGCAGATCTACCAGCAGCAGCTGCAGTATCAACAGGCCAAAGAATTCCAGCAGTACAAGCTGAGCAGGGAGCAGCATCTGCTCAAGCAGCAGCAACAGCTTCAATCGGGAACAAGGAGCTTCCAGAGTTCCGTTCACATACCCATCGGACCGCCGCCGTCCGAACTCAGAGAACAGTACGAGCTGACGTGATTGCAGCCCTAAAAATCAATCGCGAATCTCATTGCAACAACATTTAGAATACGTGCTCACAGTTAATAATAGAATAATAACAGAAACAAAATCATATTATTGATTAACTCACAATTCAAAAAGAATAACCGCTCAAGCAATGAGATTTCCTCATTCCTTGCGAGAAGAAAAATAAGAATGAATGTTGCATTTGGGCCAAAGTCCAATTATGTGTTCTCAACGTCTGATCCGCATATATATATACATACTTATAATACACAAAATACAGTTTTTTAAAAAAAAGATTGAAAATCCTTTCCCATTTCCATTTGTAGGACGCCCTCGCATCTTCGTCTCATAATCAATTCAAAAGACGACATCATCGAAGATGAAACGTAACTTGGAATTAGTTTGAAATCGAATTTCTCCCATCGATATCAAATCAAGAAATTGACCTTTTCGAGCAGCGATTTTGTAATAATGAATTTTATTCGAGGATGCGAGAGGTCCGTCGCAGATTGCCAAAGACGTGTACATAATATCATTGTGTATATTGCATTTCTTTGTAAATACGCGTAGATTTGATATATTTTTATTGAAATCCCGATATTTACACCATTAGGTGCTGCTTGATACGAGGAAAACGTGAAATTTCTATATGTGTATACATCTATGTGATATAATCCAAAAATAAAAGTAATTAAAGATAAAACAAGCAAAAAAAAATAATATATAATATATGTGAAAATTGAATGGAAAATTTTGCCGGCGAGCATCTCCGAATTTATTAAATAATTACAAGTGGAATAAATAAGGAAATTATATAAATATGTGTATATGTAAATGTGAGTATGGTCATCAGCTTTCGTTAAGATTGATGGAAGAGTTCGGTGAAGAAGAAGAAAAAAAGGGCAAGATTTGTTCTAATTCTTAAAATTTTTACATCAATCCAATTTAAACTTACAGAACATTACAAAAGTAGAATGAAAAGTTTAAGTTTCTTCAGCAGCATTGATCAATTTGACTTTATGGATTACATAAAATACGACGTGCACCTCTTTTTTGGACCCGAAACTCTTCGATAGTAGTGCAAAAATCCTCGATAAAAAATAATTATTTATATAAAAAATCATTTCTCCACTTCATTTCGACTTATATTTTTTATATGGATATTATTAATCTTTGCGTAACCATGAAGAGAGGACGAACAAGAGAAAAGGGTAGTCAAATTATATATGTATATAATCTATATATATTATATTTAATAAACAAAAAATATTAAACAAACAAAAAAGTATAATAAATGTTATATATGTGAAATAAATAGAAATATATATATATTAGTAATTAAGATATTCATTACGATTACTATTTGTTACGTTTTCTTTCTGTTTTCCGATTGGAAAATATCTGTTGACTCGTTGATTTTCTTTCTTCTTTTCTTTTTCGATAAATGAGAGTTCATGATGTTATTAAATATAAAAAAAAAGGAAAACAAGCAGGTGAAGAGCATTTACAAAGGGGGAGCGTATTGCGAGAGCTACAAATACGCGCCTTCTATTGATCCAGACGCACCCCTTATCCTTCGTGTTTAAGACCCGAGCAACGATTGGAATCTCTGAAAGGAATTGCAATCAACACCCTATTTGGATTTCGATTCATCTTCTTTATATTGACGACATCTGAATGTTCTTTCTATCAGTTTATAATGATTATATTTAGTCTCTAGTTATTTTTATGAATAAACTAATTACTTTCAATGTTGTTGTTGTTTTCTCTTTACAATTTTATAACAATTTACTCGACAACCTTAATTATATAAGTATGAATACTTATGTCAATATATTTAATTTAAGTGTACTAAAAGATTTGTTCACTATTACCGTATCCCTGGTAACGGACTAACAAATTAGAGAACACTAGTAAGCTAATGGGTCAAATCTATATGATATTGCAATGATCAAGAAAGTTTTATGTTGTACGAAAAAACAGTGATTTTATTAATAATAAATAAATTAAAAAGAATTGTATACATTACAATGTACAGTTGAAGCTTGACAATATTTGCTGCAGAATACATAAACACACAGGAACAGTACAAAATTAAAAATGCCTCTAAGAGAATTATAAAAGGCACTTTTTTTATTTTCCGTTTCAGCTTAAATTTATAAATTGGAAGATCGTTTCAATATTATAGTCTAAGGTAATTCGAAAGAGCATACAAATGAAAACCACCAAAAAAAAATAAAATGAAAAATAAATAAACGAAACAGAACAACCTGGGAATGTTATTTATTATAAAATAATTTATACAAAAAAAATAATAAGAGTAATAATAATTAGAAATAAAAGAAATTAAATTAAAATTGGACGGAAAATTAAAATACTTATCGAGAGAATGATTAAGAAATAAAATGTAAATTAAATCGAGAAGTGTGAACACAGGATCTCTTCATTCCATATTTCCTCGCGCTTTGTTGTTAAAAAAAAATTAATTATATCTGTATGTATATATTAAAAAAAAGATACCAATCAAGGAAATTGTACTATCACCCAGTCGCTGAGAAGAAGTGGTCTAAATGAACCATTCCTTCTTTTTCTGTACATGATGACCAGTGGTGCCATGGACCACGGCGGTGTCCGGATCGAGTGCCGTGTCAGCACCTGCATCCTCTTGTGTTAAGTATTCGCCCTTGTGCCGGTGCAAGTAACGACCGATGATCAGCAGTAGAATCACCAAAGCTAAGAACAAAATTGCCAGCACGCCTGCAAAAACAAATTGGTAATGTCGTGTTTTTTGTTGTTGTTAATATTAGCATTGCTACGTACTTCCTAATATAGCGGAATCCGTTTGATTGTAGGCCTTACGGAGCTTCTCTTCGTCGACTATCGGTGGAGGTCTTGTTTCTATTGTGTTGGGTGGATGAGTGATGGGCTCCACGCCACAGAAATCTTCAGTTAAAGCTCCTATAAATTAACGATAAATTAGTTTCGTCACTAAAATAAACATTAAATACGTTACCTCCAAATGCTTGAACATTGACCGGTTTATCTTGTTGGAAGAACAACTTGAGTGGGTAAATATCATCAAACTCCACTCGCGATATGCATCCAATGAAACCTTCCGTCATAGATTCGTTCTTTCCTATGTACATATACTGGATATTATTGAATTGCGCATCCGCTGAATCTTTAACATCGAAGTGCTCTTCGTATGGTTCGTAGTTATCAACTTGAAGCACCAAAGTTGAACCGCCGTTCTTTCTGGATAAACGCAAATCGTGGTATTGACCCAAGCCGAAATGCTTGTTCGGATAAATAACTTCCCTTCGCTCAAAGCCAAAATCAAAAACGACTCGCAAATAACCAGAATTTGAAACCATAATAGTCAAATACTCCCCGGATACGTTCGAGCTGAAGCCAAGGATGAAACCCTTCGGATTTGTGGTGGTGAATCCAACGCGGATCTTCTCTGATATGGTGGATCTCCAAGAACCCATAAAATCGTATTTGACCATCGAGTTTTGCCGCATGTTTACGCCTATCTCATCTGCGCATATTGGACCTTTGAAGGCGGTCCATCTGCAGTCGCACCAATAACCATCGTACCTCTCATGGCACGTTCCATTATTTAAGCAAGGATTGCTCTCGCATTTGCCTACGCATCCTTCCGTAATCCCGTACAATCCTCTCCGAGCGTAGCTCCTCAAATCTATTTGCTTTCCATTTATCAGGAACGAGCGCATGCATCCGGTAAATCCATCCCTGTAATCCACGCTAGCACCCAACACCAGATCCGACGTCAAATGCAAAGCCCTCACAGGGCCCGGAGGTTCCCTCACCTCGGATTTCATTGCGCCATCGATTACCAACCTGGCGGCTTTCCTATTCCTCTCCACCGACACCGAATGCCATCTATTATCCGCCAATTTGTAGGACGTCTCTCTCGTTACAGCCAAAGGCCCAGAACCCGCCTGATATTGGAATTGCAACTGTCTTCCACCGATGATGCTCAGCTTAATATAATCGGTCGGACCTTTGGCGTGAAGGATCACAGCGTTCTCTATGGTAGTCCTAAACTCAAAGTAAATATCGCCGCTGTGTCCCATGTCGAAGCTCGGTAGATTTATAGTTCCATCTGAAATTCTGAACGTAACCACGTTGTTGAATAAATCATCACCCTCACAGATCAAAGGTCCCAATCTGTAACGACCTTCTTTCTCGTCCAGCGCGTCTCCGGTATCTCCAAACCTCAACTGCTTCACCGGCAAGTTATCCTTTTCAGTTAAGTCACCTGTACAAAAGATACGCATTAATACAGTTGATACAAATGGGTTTGTTAATTGCATTTACCTCCATCCATGGCCCAATCATTGAATTCGGCATCGCAATTGCACCATTTGGTCGAATCTCTGCAAGTACCCAGAATGCCGCACTCGCATTTTCGCGACCCCGGAAGGGCTCCGCCCCAGTAATCCATCTTCTGGTTGTGCCTGGACACCCACCACGAAAACGGCCTGTAGTTGACCTCATCCGAAGGCGAGTTAAACAACCTGGAGTTCTTGCAACTATACTCGATGTACTGCCTGCAAGACACCGAACGATTCAGCAGTGCCTCGATCTGATCATTGTTCGCGTCGTATTGAATATCCTGTCTGAAGCTGCCGGGCTCTTGGAAACCATCCACTGAAGTGATCTGTTGATTGCTATGCTGCAATACCGTCGCAATCTTTCCATCAGAATAATACTCGCAGGTCACTTGGAACGGGGCCAGAGGACCACTTCCATCAACATCAACAGTGATATCGGCTCTTTGGCCCACCGAATGTACGTTCTTGTAAGCCTCACAGGATAACGAATGCAAGGACGTGTGACAAACAGATCCACCATAACCTGTTCCCGTGCAGTCGCACAAGAACTCCTGTGCGTTCTGCTTGCAAACCGCTCCATGCTCGCAAGGATTCGGATTGCATCTGTCAACCATCCTGCAAGCGTCGAAGACTACCTCATCTTTGCAACAGTACTCATCTTTGTTCCAATCCGTCGGCAACTTAAAGTTACCATCTATACTAATAGTCCTCATGCAGCCTATGAAACCAGGCATATACTGGAACTGTTCACCTATTTTCGCCGTAATACCGCCGGCAATTAAGTAATAATCTCCGGTTTTAATTTTCAGTCTTCTCGTCGTCTTCATCGGTTTGTAATCCACGTCCAGGACTAAACTGTTAGTCGAAATCGTTAAAACTACGGTGTGCCATCTTCCATCGTTGAACGTTTCTTGATAATTATCCAAGATTACCCTGGGATTGTTCGGCGTTATCAACTCCACCTTGATTTTTCCGTTATCCAAGAACACGGCGACGTGTCCTCCCGACAGAAACGGGTGGAACATCATCAAACCAATCGTTTCGTAAGTGCGGAATGCGAAAGAAGCGTTCAATGAATTCACACCGGAATATCCCTTCAGTTTAGCAAAGGATTTGGATGTCAGGAATGTTACGGGGACAACAGGCGGCTCCGGGCAATTGGTCAACGTATTGACCCTCTCGTACTTCAAAGTCTGACCCCACTCGGAGGCTTCCCTCAGATCTCTAATTATATTCGTGGAATTCATATAGAAATTCTCGATGCATCCTGTGAAATTCTGAGTGATCACCAGACCTTCCTGGTTATTAGGCACGCCGCCAATGTAGAAACCTCTGTTCAAATTTAATCTGTTGAACTCGCCGTTGATTCTTCCTTCCACTACAACTCGATCCACCGAGAAAAGAATGTCGCGTCTGTTGCGAGAAATCACCACGTCGTGCCAGATGTTGTCGTCGAGGAGACTGCCCACGGACAGACTTGTAACGATTCCAGAACCCAGGTCAATGTTCAGCAGCATCCTGTTATCCCTGATCTGCACTGCCAGATAATCCCCCTGGGTGCCTCTGCTGTAAATCACGATTCCGTTGGCCGCCGCAGTCTTGAACCGGAACCGGAAACTTTCCCTAGAAGCGGATATTGGATCCCTCAACAGGTCCATTCGCAGCAGAGCAGTTCCATTGAAATACAAATTATCGGACGCTGCAAATTGAAAAAGTCATTTCAAATTAAATTATTCATTAAACAGTGTTTACTTTTGTGAATAAAATTTACTTACCGTAATCGCATCCGAAGAGTTCAACTCGCATGGAAATCCTATCCCTCCATCTGGTCGGGTTAATTCGTACCCATTGGGCGATAATGGGCACCTCAAATTCGTTCCTCGAAATCGAATCTCCATCTGTGTTTCCTTTGAACATCTATTTATAGGACGCAAATCGATTAATTTCTGTTAAAGCCATTTCAAAGACAAGAAGAAAAATACAACTGCAGTCTACAACCTTTTCTACAGCCTTTAATTGGAATTTCCATCTACAACGTCTTTCTCGCTTTTCAGACATAATTATGATACATTAAGTTTGAGGATTCTTTGAGCATATCCTAAGACATATTAAAATCTTTAAATTTATTCTAAAAATTGTCGTTAGCAGATGGAAATTCTGGGCGTATGCAAATGAAAAGAATTGAAACGTTTTATCTCAAATCTACTTAAGCATTGAGTATTATCTCTGGACAGGAAACTGAATTGGATTAGAGGGAATCGAGTTTCGTGCAAAATTAGAGAACATGCGACGTGCCAGATGCTAATTTTCAGAATAGTTAATGAGATTTTACCAGTCGATGGAATTGCAAATGTGAACTAATAAAATGTGTGTAGTGTGTAGATTGGGGCATGCAAGATTGTATTTGTTGTGTAATAATATTAGTATGTTTCGGTTTTTGTAAAATGTGCACCTCGTCTTCTCCCCCTGTGCTAGTGTAGGTTCGCCATCCCTCGCCGTCGTCTGAGAATTGAACTACGTATTCAGTTACATATTCTCTAGAGTTAGATCTGCCTTGGGTAGCGATAGATCGCACCTCGAAACGACCGCCCAGGTCGAAGGTAAGGAAGTGGAAGTATGTGCTTTCCATAGGACTCCATGCCGAATCCCCTGGAGAGGGTATTATTATATGTTAGTAAGAAGTTGTAGAGGTATAAAGCGCATCAAATTAGATTAGAAAATGAGTATGAGAGTATACGCTAGGATAGAATCTGTTCGAACAAATGTATGTATATATGTATGTATGTAAGCATAGTAGTGTAAACATTCCCAACAACCCAGAGAAGATGAAGCCCATGTCCCACGATCATCATCATCATCATCACCACCAACATCTTCAAGAAACCTCACCCTGATGTTGCCGCCAGGCTCTTTGTAGTCAGCATAGTCGAGCCCGTTGCTGCCGTAGCTTATCGTGTATTCCATTACGTACTCGGAGCTGTGGGCCCGGCCCTGCGTCCAGATGCGGGTCACATTCGTCACTTGACCCAGGTCAATTATCAGCTGCTGATCGAAATCGCTACTCTCCGAAGTCCACGCGTTACCACCTTGGTCACATCAAATACATTAATCAAACCGCTTTCGCCCAAACCCCAAGACCCAGTTTTGCAGCAATTTTCCTTCATTAACACACCCAATTTTCACGAAACCCACCCACCGACTTCCCCAATTGACCTACAATTTCAGCAAATGGATTCATTACGCACTCAACAAATTGCAATAGGAGAATAAGCTCTCATTGAAAACTCCTACATCTCAAAACGCAACTATTTCCTTGAAGAAACTTAAACATTTGTTAACCATTTACTGACTGAAATTAAATAAATTACAAGTGTAACATGTCTTCTAAAAATATTTACAATTTTCTAAATTACAAACTACATGAAAGAAAAATAAAGAATTATTATCTGTGACTTTGCAACATAAATCTAAATTTATATAGTATATATTCTTAATAATAGCTGCATTATACCTATGAGTGGAATCAACAAGATTAAATCAAAAGAGAGCTGAAAAGCAATTGAAAATTTAATAATCTGCTCTTGAGGTTTTTGAATATAAAACATTTCTGCTCAGAAATAGATGACCTCAAAGAATAAATTTAACTTTTTATCATTGGCAAAGTCCACCAGACACATAAAATCAATACAACAAGAATCAATTCTAGTTCCACTTAGAGCTTAGCTCACAAATATTCAATTCTAGTAATTAATTGTAAATCAAGAGAAATCACATGTAAGAAATACTTTTGTATGATCTGCAATTGGTATTTAAAAAAAATAAAATGAAATCTGAAGGCAAATGTTTAATACTTGTAAAATATTCGTAATTAGAGCTGAAAAATAAATGAAATTCATCGTCTGGTATAATCAGATTGGAATGAAATAAAGTCCAATAAACTAGGCGAAGATATTTGTGCCAGGTACGAGGAAACGAATAAAAAAACAAAACAAACAAATCACCCTAAAAGAAAGACATTCAACAACCCATGTGCGTGTTTTCTATCGCAAGGGAGTACAAAACGTGGGGAGGGTCATTGTATAATAATGTATAAATTTTAATCTAAGCATATTTATGGAAACGATTTATTCAGCCGACCCCCAAAAACACACAAATCACTTTTTGTCCAATTTGTCGAAGAACTTCTCACAGTACATATGATCCTCGGGCAAGAAAGGAACAGCGGTCTCCACCAATTCATCGAATGTGATCTTTCGGAAAATAATTGGTTCAGTTCTTTGGATCTTGGAAGCAACAGCCACGCAATGATCATCATCCAAATTGCTTTCCTCGAAAAACCAATCCTGCTTCTCGTTCCTAACGTAGAGTTCGGTGTTTGTAATCACAGAGTCTCCGCATAAACCTTCTTCAGGTTTGAAGCTTATCTCTTGAAGGTTCACGGTGATACCAACACCGATGGCTTTGACGTAACTTTCTTTCAAACACCAATGTCTGCAGAACTTGGCTATTTGCTCAGCGTCAGTTCCCGACTTGATGTTATGCCATTCGCTAGGAGAGAAGTGTCTGGTCATAAGGCGGAAGAACTCTCCGAGTGGCTTCCCACCGGAATACTCCTGCTTCATAACATCAACGCCTAATAGAAGACCGTCACTCTCGCCGGCGAAAACCGCGAAGTTTCCTTGATGCGAGACGTTGAAGCTTACGGTTCCATCATCGATGTAAGGCTTCCCCTTGGCATCTCTTTTGATGTTGATTTCATCGTAAGCCAAACCGGTGGACTCGTGAATGTACTTTCGCATCATCAACCTTCCAATCAGCGAAGACTTAAAGTCATTCTTGAACACAAACCTAGCCAGCCGATCTTTCTCCTCTTGCTGCACGCAACTGGTGGCAATCAGCAGCTCGGTTTTGGTGGGCGACCACTTGGTAAAATCAAAGCACCAACGCGCACTCATTTTCAAAAAAGTCATCAACAGTTCGTCTTTGTTAACTTATAAAATAATGTCTAAGAAAATATTCTAAATATAGCAACAGAATGTAAGAGAAACAATAGGAAACACCGGTCCGATTTAACCTGAAGAAGAATAAAAAAAGAGGTTTTCAGCACCACTTTAAAAGACATTTCAAATGTTGTTGATGAGAGGGTAGGGCTGATGATCATATCACGTTCGTAAATCTTTCCATAAATATGATTATAATTGAGTTTAAGAGAAAGTACAGAGAAATCTTGCTCGAAACTTTTAAAGAAATAATCATGAAATCTTACACCTAGGTGTAAATAAATAGATAACATTTTGTTATGAAGTTCAAATGCAACGACCAACTGGATGTGATTGTAATTTAATGCTTAAAAATAATCCTGTAACATGTTTACATTTGATATTTGAAGTAATTCAAATCTTAATTATTTTCATATATATTATAAAAAAAAATGACCGGAATCATCGATGAATGTATAGGAATTATAAGATTAAATAAAACAATATTTACCATATAGAACAGCGTTTTCTGGTCCTCGTTCTCTCAAAGATGATGTTGCTTTAAGGGCAGCCTTCTCCATAAGGGCGTTGTTACACTCATATTCATTGTAAATACCTGTAAAATAACATTTTAATTATAAGCAAATGAAGAATGTATATAGTTTGTATTATTAAGGACTAAATTACATAATCAATGGACCTTTGACATTTTCGTATATAAAATAACAATGACGAGCGATTCGTGCGAGGGAATAAAGAGTTTTGATCGATTATTTAAAGAATGAAATAAAAAAAATATGTCACATAATAGCAATGAAGTGGGTGAACGAACAGAAGAAAAAAAAGTTGGAATGATGCCAAGCAGAACTGCAGTAGCCGGAAATACGCAAACAATATAAAAATAATAATTATTAACTGTATATCTGTTCATCATTCGGTATACAAAGTATTCTAATTTTAAGAAAATATCAGTAAAGTATCATAGCTAAAAATATTTTGATGAAAATGATGTAATGTCCGAAATGAAACCCATTTGCGTGTTGTGTTTCTGTTATTTTAGCAAGGGCAAGAAAATAAATGAAAAAAACATTAGACGAATTAAAATAATAAAACAGTTACAACTACGAATATATATATTATATACGTGCTGAAAGTAAAGTAGAACAATCAATGAATAAGCGTTTAACTTAATGGAAATGTACTGAAATTTTAGTAATGAAAGACAACTAGCAACTTCATTGGAGACTTTTGAATATACGTGATTGAAGTAAATGAAAATGTTTTTAGTTATTGAAAATAAAATTACTGAGTCAATTGCTACTTATTGTGCAATATTTCTGCAGAAAATTGTATCATGAAAAACAAATTATAAGTCAATTGCTGAACGTAATTCATTTGGAGTTATACTAACGAGGGTACTGAGATTAAGTAATGAAATGCAAATTAGAACCCAATTATATATTTGGCATGTATTGTAATGTTGGAATCCCACCAAGATGTTAAATGTAACGAAACTAAATACAGTTTTAATCAAAATTCCTCACTAATGGTATTAATGCAAATAACATTTATTTACTGTTGCAAATAAGTTATTTAAAAATCTTATATCTCAAGTTTCAACACTCCCAACTGTAATTAAATACATTTAATATTATAAATTTTAATTCAATTCCTATAAATAATAACTGCACAAAGATTTCAATTATCTATAATTTTAAATACTCATAGATTTTAATGCAATTATTATAATATTATCTAAAATATTCTTCTTCCTTGAATGGATAATTAAAAGAAGTCTAAAATGTGAATGACTCTGATAATTATTATAATAATACACAAATTCTTAGTTACAAATGAATCACTAAAATAAAGACAAAAATGAATCATTTTTCAACATTACGTTATGAATTCCTTTACTAATACACAAAACATAATTAAAATTGATTTTTTTAACCCATGCTTGCAAGTTAAATGCCAGTATAAAGGTTACATAATAAAGGTATTTTTTTGTAGGGCTTCCTATTGGAAATACAAACTATTTATTTAATTAATGATACATTCAAAATATCATGAATTAATTTAAATGATTTAGGGTTCCAAAGAATAGGTAATGCAATTTGTATTTAATAAAATAAGAAAACAAAGGTAATTATTGATAGGAACACAATGTTTTCTATTTAAAATGCAGTAGATGTGACAAGATTTGGTAATGAGTTGTAACTGTAAAGCATTTGATAAGCAAAGTTATGTAAAGAAATTTCTAAGAAAACCAGCTCTAAGGTATGAGTGATGATGACATTCTTGTATTAATAATTGAATTACAACAGCAATGACTCACGTTGTTTAAAAGCACTAATTTACAATAAATTAAAACTAATTAACTAGTTAGGTGTTTTTGGTGTCGTAGGAAGCTTCTTGTAAAGATTGTAGCAAGGATCAAGGAGTGTTGTGTTATTTGTTTTGATGCATTTGTTTATATCAATGTACAGCCATGTTTGATGATGCTACTTTTAAAGGGACACTCCGTTATCTACGGTAAGGTTTTGAGTGAGATTAGATAAGAGAACGATGGTAAAACTTACTGGCTTCGGATGCAACAATAAAAACGAACAAAAACGTAAAGATTCTTCGGGCTTCCATAGCTCTACATGTCACGCCGTATGGTTACACCCAACAACTGAACGCGTAATTCTAAAAAAATGTTGCCGTCTGCTGTGGTGGTAAAGCCCATTCAAGAAGAAGAGGAATCCCATTCAACTTCAGCCCGTTGTTGTTCAACAACAACGCGAAGTTGCAACGTGCGCTAACTTCAGTGCGATCCGCAATTCAAACAGGAAAAAAACGAATTCTGTCAGGCCCGGTGTTTTCTTCTTGGTTGTTTCGCGAGAAAATGGAATTAACAGCGGATTTCATGACGATCCAAGGGATTTTCAAGACCATCGCCAACTCTACCGGTGATCTGACCAGATTCAGGCACAGAGGAGGTGAGTTTTTGTTCGTAACAATTACTTAACCCATATTCTTAAATTGAATGGTTTTTAAGGTAATGAAGAGGTAATTGATTTGATCTGCAAGGATGTCAAGCAGTTCCTCTTTGCAAAGCAGTATTTGAAAGGGGAGAACAACCCGAACATGGAGTCTCTGCAGCAGCTGCGCAACATTGCCATGTTTTTAATTTTGAACACTGATTTTAATACAACAGTCGCTATAAAGGAACACGAGCATCTGATGAATGTGATGCCAAAGATTTCCAAATGCATTTTAATCAATCTCATTGTTGAGCTAGAGCTTGTTGAGTGCTATGTTGTTATTATAGACTCGTTCCCATTGCCCACAAGCATCGAACTATTTGATGAAGCCATCTTCTGTTTGAGGAAGACTCACTCTGCCAAAGTGCTTAAGCATACTTTTATTATAATAAGAGAAATAATTAGGAAAATAAACTCAGTTGACGTGCATCAGGTAGGTTTGATGATTGCTTTCAAACTTATATGTTTCTTTAAATCATTTAATCATTGCAGGTGCGAGATAGCGTAGAGAAGTTTGGAGATGTCGTTACGCAATTGCTGATGCAAATATCCGGATTCGATCCAGAAGCTGTGCAAGGTTGGAAACGTGAACAACTGTACAAGCACATCGGTTATACTATATTAAAGTTGCTGAAGTTGTTGCAGTACTGTGATATTGGAAACGTGGGTTTAACGAGAATCGTAGGGTCTTTAATTGAAGCGGCTTCTTCTGTAGCGAGAGCCATCACTTTGAACATCTACTGCTCGTGGGCGGAGGAGGAACACGAGGGAAACGCACTGCAGATTTACATAAACTCTGAAGCATGTTTGGTGGTGGAGAAGTATATGAAGTATGAACCAGCCAAGGAGTTGATTCAATACTTGGGGCCCATCGCGAAGAAGCCGAAGAGTGTGAAAGAGCTGCTTCGCACCGCAACTGATGATGATATCATCAAGATGATCAACAGGGTCGACAAAGATCAGAAACTGTGCTTCACCACACTTCTGAATACGAGGATATTTCATAGCAAAAACGTTATGGAATGCATCGAGAAGTGGTCTCATCTTTCAGATATAGACGATGTCAGTCGCATGATAACATGCGCCAAATACTACGATAATCCCGATGCTAAAAAACTGATCTTGAAGTGCGCTTCGCATCTCTCCGTTGAGGATTTAACGATGACCTTAATTCGATACTTCAATCTCTACGGATTCGTCAAGAATTTGCTCGTAAACAATTGCAAGAGCGAGTTGACGCTCTTACTGAACCGTATCAATCAAACGAAAGAACGTAATTTATCATTGGACGAATTGGAATCTGGATCGATTAAAGAGATACAGCTCTTGTTGTTGCAGAATCCGGAAGAGGTCATATTCATTTTATACAGTGAATGCATTAAGAACATGGTATACACGTTTTGGTTGAAGCATTGCTTCGCGGCTATAGAGAACGTGCTGAAGATCGATCATATTGCTGTAAGGATGTTGCACAAGGCCTACAAAAACGACGGACCAAAACTCGAGAACTTAAAGGGTTTTATTCACTTGAACGAGATGCTCCTTGATACTGGCTGCATTAGCAACGAGGAGTTATTTGAGCAGGTTATTAGGAATTTATTGGAAGAGGTATTCAATGAGCAGAAGATCGAAGAATTCAAGTGTTTGCTGGCCATACTATTGGAGCTGAAATTTGGAGGTATCAATAACTTCTTCAAACAAGACTTCATATTGTTCCTTTTGAACGCTCTGGAGAAATTCCGCTGTCAATACGCAGAATTCACTTACCTTAACATGGAGATCACCGTGGCTATCACTGAAATCTTCAAGAATCTCCGCGGCAAACAAGGTTTGTATTCCAACATTGCTATTGCGTAAATAACTAAATAATATCACTTTAGATTTGAATCTGGAAAAAACTTATAATCCTTTGAACAAGTTTTACGTGGATTGCGACAACTCCCTGTATCTCAGTTACGTGTTTCCCGACTTCACCATCGACCACTATGGTGATGCTGTCTCCAAACTGATTAAGGTGAATTGCATCTTTTCTTTATTCTTCAAGCAAACTAATTGTACTTTGATGTAGCTTCTATCTAGATGCGTTTCCAACGAGTGGTTATTAATCACAACTGAATTGAAATCTCGCTTTGAAGCAGGTTTGGCTTTGGAAATCCTCACAGATTCCTTGATACTGATCTGCCAGGTCACCGACACCCAAACCGAGGCAAACAACCCTACGATATTTAACTCGCTGAAGTATTATTTGAGTAGCTACGGGATTTCAGCTAAGGTAAATAACTTAAGCTGCAGGTGATCTGAATAATAATTGTTTTCAAATTGCAGTACTTGCAGAGTGCCGAAAACTCGCAGACTTTCGAAATTCGCTTGATACGCAATGTGCTCAGGTTACTTCCCTGTATACCGCAAGTGATCAGATTCAGCGAAGGAGTGACTCTGCTTACTTTGCTATCGGAGGAGGCACTCAGGAGTTTAGCTCACGACAGGGAGTTCGTGTGTTCCTTGCTCGAAATCAAGGATATGCAATTGACTCAGCAGATCGCCAAGAAGATGATTGTTAAGTGAATAATGAAACAGAGTATTTTATTTTATTATTATTACATAATACTTTGTACTCGTTTTACAATTGGATAACGGCGCGGAGGCTGTAACAAAGAAGAGAAGAGGGATTATTTATGTTACTGTTGAGTATTTTTTTTTTGTTTCTTTTTATCAAGAGAATGTTGTTAATTTACCTTTCCCCAGTGTGCATGAGATGGAAAGCTTGGTTTATTTGATCCAGGGGCATGTTGTGCGTGATGAACTCGTCGAGCATCAATTTTTTGTTCAAGTAATCTTCGACTAACTTTGGCACGCTGTCCACACTCTTCCAACCTTATTATTTAGAATAAATGTATTTATTTGTATTTTACGAAAACTTGTATTCTATTTGGTTTGTTACCTCCGAAGGCGGTTCCCTTCCAGACACGCCCGGTGACCAATTGGAATGGTCTGGTCGCGATCTCTTGACCGGCGGCGGCTACGCCCACGATCGTGGACACTCCCCATCCCTTGTGACACGCCTCCAGGGCGGATCTCATGGTGTGAACGTTACCAACGCACTCGAAGGTGTAGTCCAGACCTCCGTCGGTCATTTCCACGAGGACATCCTGGATGGGCTTCTCGTGATCCTTGGGGTTGACGAATTCGGTGACACCGAACTTCTTAGCAACCTCGAATTTGGACGGGTTGATGTCCACACCGATGATCCTCGACGCTCCTGCAGTTTTGCAACCTAAAGCAACAGCCAATCCTACCGCTCCTAATCCCCAGATGGCGCAATTGCTGCCCTTATCAACTTGGGCTGTGTTGAGGGCCGCACCGTAACCGGTCGGTACTCCACATCCCAAAAGGCATACCTTATCCAGAGGGGAGTCATCGTTGATTTTGCATACAGAAATATCGGCGACTACCGTGTACTGACTGAAGGTGGAGCAACCCATGAAAGAGTAGATGGGTTTTCCTTTGCAGGTGAACCTGGTGGTTCCATCGGGCAAAACACCGCGTCCTTGAGTGCTGCGAACTTTCTGGCACAAGTTCGTCTTTGGCGACTTGCAGAATTTGCATTCCTTGCATTGTGGAATATATAGAGGGATAACTTTATCACCTTAAAATATACATTAACATAGCAATTAATTGTGTATTGCTATAAGCAAGTCATGTCACATCAATAATCCTAGTTACAATTAATTCACCTACCTGGTTTGACACAGGTGACACCCTCCCCAACACTCTCAACAATGCCAGCTCCTTCATGTCCTAAGACAACAGGGAAGACACCCTCAGCATCATGACCTTCCAATGTGTAAGCATCTGTGTGGCAGACTGCAGTATGGATGATTTGAATGCGAACCTCATGGGCATTTGGTGGAGCAACCTCAACATCTTCAATGACCAATGGGGTCTTTGGGGCCCAGCACACTGCAGCTTTGCAAGTGATTGGCTATAATCATAATACATATTACATAAATTATTTACATTACAGAATGCATCAAGGTCATTTCTTATCATATTATAGCTATGTCCTTTTTCCAATCAATAAATAAAATTGATGAAAGCATACTCTGATTCCCCAGAAAAGAATAATATACAAAACTTACTTTTCCTTGAGTTGCCATGTCTTTGGATTTTTGTTTCTAGAATTGTATGATGCGAAGCAAGGACGTGTCCTGACGGAACGTAGCGTGCAAGTAAATTGTTTAAAATAATAGAGTAATTGAAGAGGAATATATCATCAAAAACGGTGCGTGCCGTGCGCAAAGGACAAAATAATATCGAATTGGAATTGTACTTTTGGTTGCCTAGACAAAGGTCAGAATAAATCTGTTATTATTTAGTAATAGTAATGATTTTATTATATTTTTCTATTTATTAGTACTATTCCTACAATGTGGAATTCGTTCGTCGATAAAGACAATAACTATTTGATCAGGATTGACGATGATGGTAAGGTGTCGCTCACTGATTTCAAGTGCCTTTGGATTCAGGAAACTCCTAAATTGGAAATGATCAACGATTTCAAAGTAAGGCTTATTATTTCAATCATTTATGAAATAATCATGAAAATATGCATATAAACGTCAAGATTTATATACAAGCTGTAGGTTATGTTGTTATGTGACATATCTGTTGTATATTTGGTTGCCTCAAATCATAATTTACAGAGTGTTGCTTTTTTAATGTTCCATAAATTATTTTACTAATTTCTTTATTTAAATTAGAATATGTTGATAATATCCATTTAATTTTAATAGAAAAAACGTTAGTGAAAATTGTACTTATTTTGAAGGTGTAAATCATATTGGTAATCTCAACTATATTCCTCCATAAACATCCAGGACTTGTCTTCTGTTCTGTTAATTTTTACATTTACCTCCAAAGAAGAATTTGTCAATATTAGTGAAATCCATAAAAAAAAATATAAGCTAAATATATATTGCGGTTTTATGGTGAACAAGTTTGAAAGTGACTATAATATTTTCAAATTTTGAAATCTTAATATTACTACTTTTTAATTTAAAAAAAAAAACTACTAAAGAGAATGTCTTAAGATCATTAATTCGAACGGAATCTATCGAAGAAATTATTATTTGGATTTGTTTCAGCAACTGAACCAGGATTATGTTGGAGACGACGACGAATCTTTCTCTGAAATAATGAGCTGCGTGAGGAATGTGAAGGTTGTAGAGTCTCTGGTCTTTGAAGAGGACGTCTGCAGGCTGGGTATCAAAGCGAAAACTGAAGATCTACCCATCCGTTTGCATCTGATTTTGGGGAAGTCCGAAGCGAACTCCGTAAGATTGATTTGGAGAGAATGTTTGCAGAATTTGTAATTTCACCTTTCAGTTCTTCGATGAGATTATGGTGCCAATGGTGAAGACCGTTCAGTATTTAGAACTGAAACAGAATAAGTATGCGGAGCAGCTGGAGAAGAAGGACGCCGAGATCCAAGAGTACAGCATCGAATTTGGAACGCTCAAAAGAAGTGCGTGCATCGGAATTTATTACATTTTAATAATGCGTATTTCTTCTTGCGAGCAGAGCACTTAATAACGGAGAAGTTTAAGAGGGATCCGAAGACCGCAACGGAGGGTTTGATGATCAACATCTTCACGAAATCGGACGGATTCTACGAGGCGTTGACGAGAAACCACGGGGACATTCAGGAGATCTACCCAGAATTGCGCGAGAAGAAAATCAAAATACGCAAACTAGTTTTGCCCAACTTCACCAGAAATAAGAAGATGAAATAAACTGTATATTCTTTATTTAAATTGTTCACACGTACTTATATTTTTCATTCCATATCGACTTTGAATATGGATTAATTTTTATTTTTTACATCCAGACTCGATACATTCGATTTTCTTTCCCCGATTTTTACGAGTATTTCAATATGTGTATCCGAAATGGTTGTGGTAACGTTCTTATCCATAGATTTGATCAGGTTATCTACTGCTGCAAGGATTGCATCCACATTTAGTGGTTTTAATGCTTGTTGCATTTCTTCAGTGAATTTATCTTCAATTGGAAAGCATAGAACGTTCTGCAACATATTTAACACTTGGTTATCCCATTAATACAAAATTCTACAGTGTATTCTTACAACGCTTAAGATTAAGAGAATTAAAGCACAGCGAAGATACATCTTGGAAGTCCTTTAGATACTTACTTCATTAGACTGCAAACTGCAGCCTCGATAGTAATTAGCAATTGAAGCGGCGATAACCCTAATCGATAGGCTATCTATTAAGAACATTAAGAAAATAACAACACAAAGTCTGTCAATTTATTATTTATTAGAGTAGATGATGTTAATAATTGTTAATTTTTAATTAATATACTAAATAATTAAATATAAAAACGTTGAAACACCGTCAAGAATTTTTGCTTTGAGTTACGAAAACCGAGAATGTTTTTTCTTCTTAATTGGTAAGGTCAAACGCATTTCATTAATACGAATTGTAAACATTAGAATGTCCCAACGGAATATTAATTAATGTTTGTGGGGAAAATTTAATAGGTGGTTAAATTGGGATTATAAACGAGAGACTTGGTTTCGTGATTAATTAATTTTGCTGAAAGGATGAAAACAACAACAAGGTGATCGATTTATAGATTAAGTGTCTTTGTGCTTTTGATGAATTATGTAGAATATTTTTAGTAAACAATGTGACGAAGGAGAAATGTTTTAAATGGATGGTCTCGTATTTTGGACACTTTTCTCGGAAGGTGCAAGGCTGAATAATTGATTACGAGGAACGGATAAATCCAAGGTTTATTATGCACGTTTATTTGATTTTCGATCATTCTTGAGATTGTTTTTGTCTTGGAGGAGGAACGTAAATGGAATTCAATTTCTGACTTCTTTTGGTGGTTGAGCGTTGGATAACGTTGTATTATGGATTCTAGGTGGCAAAGGAGAAAGAGAAATTTCTAATAATTGGCGATGCGTCGAGCGGAGCGCTCTTGGAAGAGAAGCACAATGTAAAGAAAAAAAAGAAACAAAGAGATCCGTGCAGAGACTTGGAATTTTCTTGGTCCGTTTTGTTGTTCTTCAGCAGCTGACAGAACAGCATTTTCGTGAGTGCGAGCGCGTTTTCCTCTACTTCTTTCCATCGGCTGGTGGAGTGTCTTGCTGCTGGTTGGATGCCGCTGCAGTGGGTTATTCCTTTGGCGGACGAAGACCAGTCAAGACGTCCACATACAAATACATACAAGGTCGAGGGAGAACGCGCCGTTTAAAACGTACAGCGCCCAGGCTCAGTAAAGTCACTTCGCCGCTGACCGGAGCCAGCACAGAACCATGGCGAGACTCCTCAACCTGGCCATCTTCTTCGTGGCTATTGGTAAGTAGCAACAATCGAAGAAAGAGAGAACAATCGGTGGCGCAACGCTGCGCCGCAGTTTCCAAACGAAATACATAATAAATCTGGTGTGAAAGTGATTCCGAGTAAGGAAAAAGAGATTGACTGAAAGAGCTGTTGTTAGTTGGAGAAACACGGAGAGAGAGAAAGAGACTGCAGCATTCTCACCAAAGGCCAACCGCTATTAGTATTCAAAGAGTCGCGCAATTTTACTGTAATTTCAAAGTTTAACAGTCGGATCTCTCTCCACAATACTTCATTATTACATCTTCGCATCGGATCATTTATTACCAAAATGCCGAAGAGCATATTATTCATTGTGCAACGGCCGAATCAATTCACGAGTCTCGCACAAGCATAATAATATTCAATGATTATTCACGGTGAAAGTAGTTTTCAGCTTAATTCATTTTGCGGTCCACTAATTGATTACATTAAAACTGTTCCTTTATGTTGTACCATTCCTCCTCTTTGTCCTCCCAGTTGTTATTGTTCTCCAAACGTGATTTTAATTCGCTGCTCGTAAATCCTTGAGATCGGAAAAACGCAATCAGATTTTACCGCACCTAGGCTCCACCACCCATTGTGTCACTTTGTTTTCTCGCAGGAATGCAGGAATATCTTTACTTGCTCGTACTCGTAACATTTTGATCTTCCTCATTATGTAATCAACACGTAAACATCATCGTTCAAAGATAATCTTTCTCTGCACTGTTAACAAATTAATGTCATTTATGTGGTTTCTTTTCGAAACAGAAACCTTGAGCAGTTTGTCTTGCATCTGTGCCGCTTCGTTTGCGACAGCTCACACTCTTCATCTAAACCTGTTCTTCAAATCTGGAAATCCTCTATGCTTTTACCAAACGGCTTGCGATTTATTTCATTCATGTATGTACTTCCCTGACTACAGTTACGTATTTTAATTTTTGATATTTCTCGAAATAAACTTGCTCTCTGCGGTAAGGTCAACATTTGGATTCTTTTCACTAGTCCAACAGTCTATTTGTTATTTCCTTGTTGTAAATTATACTAAGTTATTTATTGAATTAGATGAAAGAATAAACATTAACTTCAATGAAAGTTATTATAATTTTATTAATATTTTCATAACTGTCCTTGGAACTTTATTAAACTTTAAACTGTTATTGATAATCGATTCCAGTTGATGCAATTGATTAAGTATGTTTTCTAAAGTGTGGGTGGGTTGAGATGATGAAAATATGTTTGTCGATTGCAGGAATTGTAGTAGCCGCAGGACCTAGGCCAACCTTGAACAGGAAGCAACAGGCGTCTGAAAACGGAAGGAGGAAGCAGCCACAGCTTCCGACTAACGTGGATGAGGATGACGTCGAAGATGTAACATCCGACAAATGCCCAGAGCCAAACGGTTACTTCGGCGATGCGGAACAATGTGACAAGTACTACGACTGCAGGGATGGCGTCCACACACCTAAACTGTGCCCGGACGGCATGGTCTTCAACGACTTCAGCCCCGAGTACGAGAAGTGCGATCTTCCATTCAACATCGACTGTTCCCACCGATCGAAATTGCGTTAGTTCTAATCCCATTCGAACGTCGATGAACGCGAGATTAACTTGCTTCTTACAGAGACTCCGCAGCCAAGTCTGCATTGCCCCAGGAAGCATGGATACTTCGGTCACGAGGAGGCTCACATCTGCGACAGGTTCTACTATTGCGTCGACGGACAATTCAACATGATCACCTGCCCGAACGGTCTGATCTACAACGAGAAAGTGGGTATCTGCTCATGGCCAGATGAGGCCAAGAAGAAAGGCTGTTCCTCGGAAGGTAAGTGTGGTCAACTTCCGTCATCTACAGGCTAACTCATTGTTGATTGCTTCTGGTCGCAGAGGTGTTCCAATTCGAGTGTCCGAAGGTGAACGAGACCTTTGGGGCCACACATCCAAGGTACGCCGACCCTGATGACTGCCAGTACTTCTACGTTTGCATCAACGGCGACACTCCCAGAAGGAACGGCTGCAAGTTGGGGCAGGCCTTCGACGACGTCCACAAGCGTTGCGACTGGGCCAGGAAAATCCCAGAATGGTAAAACAGCAAAATTACATCAAGAGAAATGAACAACCAAATATAAATAAATGTGTTTAGCGTCGACTGGTACAAAGGACAGCTCACCGACGAGCAGCTCGAAGCCTTAGAGAATCCACCTACCCCAAGACCAAGGCCATCCTCGGGGGTCTCCCGACCATCCAGGAGGAAACCTCAAAAGAAACCGCAAGCGAGGACCTCCGACGATGAATGAGCCCACCAACTAACTTATTGATTTATTTGTTTTTTTATAGATTCATTCTTTTTTTGTGTAATAATTAATTTATTTCCTCGAAGAAAATAAACGATTTTACTTGATGAAAACAAAATCGCACATACGACCTTCTCATTCCACTGGATGCAATCACCTCTTCACAGTTCATTACCATATTGCACTTTATTCCAACAGACAAAACCCAAAACCTCATCGATTTCGTATATCTAAAATACAACACAAATAATAGACGCAAACGTATTATGTAAACGATGGCATTTCGCAAACAACAGATGACAATAAATTAGCTGATCTCAAATATACGTGCATAAATATATATGTATATACAAGAAAAAAAAAACAGACGAGAGTTAACTTTCACGGCACCCGCGACGCCGCGAGGTGAAAGTTACCGTCGTCAATCAGTATGTTACGTAACAATTCGATTATTTGAAAATCTCATTTCAATTTAGTATAAGTAACTAAATACTTACACAAACTAAAGTATAAACAAATATTGAATATTATTGAACTTAGAGTTGATATTGATATACAATTTTCTTAAATTAATGAATAGTTGAGTGAACGTTGAATGCGTATATAATAGCTAAAACTATAAGAAATGTAATGAGCGTACTTGCATAATCACGGAATTTATACAAATCCAAGTAGTTTGTAAATTATTAAGAAAAATCTATCAACAGAAATATGAGAATATTATATAAACAAATTTAGATATTACAGTTAGGACTTTTGGAATTGAATTTGAAAACTTTTTGGACATTTACTTAGTATTAACTCGTAATTCAGAAATGAATCGATCAAAGTTTTTCGCAGCGATGTGAAAGTTCCCACCGCGTCGATCGTCGTTGCGAAACAAACCGCATTTAATTATTTGAAAATTTTAATTTATTTTTTTCTACATTTATCTCGCACACCCACAAATATTCATATCTAAACGATAGACGTATCATAACACACACAGAAAAAATTGGTCCTAATTTCGTGAGTTTGAGTGTATACATAATGTTTTTTTTTTCTTCTTAAAACATATTTCGGGCTTCCTTTACATAAGAGCGCCGAGAAAGTTGCGCGGCCCGACGTCTTACGCAACCGGCAACATATTGAGAAATTTACTAGGCGAAAATAATAATAAAAAAAATAGTAATAAAATACAGCATGACAATTTCCTTTCAGTTGTAATAAGTTTTATGCTGTTCTTCGAAAAAGCTTTTCCGAGATCCTTGAAGGAAACCGGCGGCGGCTGCTGCTGCATTAGCGGAGCGTGTCCTTCGGTTTTAACGCATTTCTCGTCGAAAAACGCTCAAAGTGTATATAAAGAAGTAAAAGTGGCTTAACGCCATTGACATTCCCGGCGATTTGCCGCCGCAGGGCCGATATTAAAGTCGTTTACGAAAAAAAAAACGGCTTAATTGCTGGTTAATCGGTCCGAAAATTAGAGAAGCTTTTCACCGCGAGAATTCGTCGTCCAATTATTATTATTATTATTAGAAAATGTTGTATGTACGTCGTTGTCATCGGTATCGGTTGCCGTGGTAACGGCCCAAGTACTCCAGGGTCGATAGCCATTGAACTCACCTTAGCAACGGTAGTTCTAATTGTTTTATAAATCGCATCGGAATGTGCACTTAAAATGTACAGGAGGTTTGAGAATAAGAAAAAGACATATCAGGAATTAATATTATTCGAATACCATTCGACCATGGGCAGCGTTTAAATCATAATATTTTAAAAAGAATATACCGTTTCAAAAACCACATTTCACAAGTTTTAACATCAGCTTCAATTGAAGACTTAAATTGTGTGCAGCTAAAACTAATTACACGAGAAATATGTCAATTAATCGTGGCATTTAATGAAATCTACGAGAATTATTTACCATTGACATTTAATTAAAGTAACATTTTAACTAACTTAATTTCTAATTTGTTACTGCTGTAAAACAAATTGAAATACGTTAAAAAAATAAATTCAATTGGAAAAAGTAAAAAAATAATTATTGTCATTAGCGATGATAATTACAAATTTAACAACTTTCCCAAAATCTATATGAGAATTTAATGAGAATCGTTATTATTGTATTTTCAATGCTTCGCACTTCGTTTTTACTGGACTGATTTGATCTTTCATTCATGTATTCACGTATGCAATAAGATGAAAAACTGGGGAAAAAAAAATGTGCGAAATCATCTTGAAATGTGTGAATTTTTCGATTAGAAAGTCTACTACGAAGAAACCGTCGTTTAATGATGCTCATTTGTTTAGTGACCAAAATGCATTATTTATGCGCGAAAGAAAGTTCGATTCTGTATGCATCGGTGGCAATAAAATGTCAAACGAATTAATTCGCAATTAAATTCAAGGAAAAAAAAAGAGAAGAAAAAACTTGGAGAAATAGAATTAGAGAAAGAAGTAACCTCTTTTCCAAGTTCTCTAAAATAAATAAGAAACAATGATGAATTTGCTTAAGTCCATGTCGAATTGAATGAAGCTTGAATTGCTGGGAATTGTTACAAATAAAAGTATAAAACAAATAAAAATAAAACGAGACTTGTAGAATTCGAGTTGTAAAAATTGAGTTGAATTTAATGAACTATTAAAATTAAAAGAAAAGAAACTGAACGAGAATTCTACAAGAATTGTGTAAATGATTGCATGATTTTTTAATTGGAATTGGATAATTGATTTAGGAATCGATTCGAGTTGAAATTGGTTAATAATCTGATTTAATTAATTATTAAGAATACTTAATTGGTTTGCATTAATTTTGAATTAAAATTGTTTTATTGAAGAAGATGCATTGAAATTGCAATTGATGCGGTTTTGAATTGGAATCGCTGCAAAGATGGACTTGGAATTGGTCTCTTGGATGGCATTAGTATGAAGAGTATTGCCGTTTTCGGTGGATAAAACAAAGTATGCGGAGTGGAGCAAAACGTACCCAAAAAGGATATCGAACGGTAATTCGATTCCAAGGTGCATTCGGATTTCTACAAAAAGAGCACGAATTCTAGTTAGAGATTTTTATAACTTCATTCTGGTAATGTGATGTGATTTATTTTATAAATGTATTATTTTTTTTTCAGTCACTTAGGAATTCTGATCAGCTAAAAGAAAACCGTTTAATGTACAAAATATGATTTGGCTTTGGTTCTTTAGGTTTTAACTTATTAACTTTTTTTTTGTTGGATTTTGATTATTGAATATTCATATTTTTGTGAAATATGAAAAATATTATTAGATGATTGCGAGTTGCAAAAGGTTAAGTGTTTCCAATGGTCGCATTATAGCCGGATCGTGGGTTCGCCTGTTTTTTTTCTTCTTCTCTTCTTCTTGACTTCTCTCTTCTTTCTTTTTCTTTTTTGTGGTAGGGATGATGAAGAAGAAAGAGTGAGCCAATGGTAGGAAGGCCATCGCTGACCGCTGGGTAGGGAAGCAGTGTTTCACTTGGCCGCTTGGATTAGAGTCTATAAAGGACATGCGACGCTATCAATCCTTCAGTACAAGTAAAATAGTTCATCAAACACACATTCATACTTTACAAAAATCATGAGATTCTTTGTGCTGACAACTCTTCTGGCCACGGCCGCCCTCACCAGTAAGTCTTTCAATTAAATTTTGAAGTTTTTTTTACGTTGTTGTTAAAATGTTTGTTGGAGAAAAGCGAAAGCTGTTGTATTGTTCTCTTCGGATCTGCTCGCATCCAAAATAGTGCTAAATATAATGCAAGTACGTGTGCATGGGAAATGATGTACGAGAAAACCGGTTGAAAATACAAAAGTTCAAACCTTTCACTTTTATATAACAACTCTCGGTGCGGCCGCGAGACGGAATGCTTGCTTGCATGCATGCATGCATAATGAGTTCTTGTAAAAACTAAACTCTTGTTGTACGATTTCCTGCAGGCGCGCAATCCTTCAAATGTCCACCCAAGGATGGTCAATACGAGGATTCCATCCAGTGCGACAAATTCTACAACTGCGTGGATGGCGTTGCCACCGAGAAACTGTGTCCAGATGGTCTCGTCTTCGACCAGCTGATCAGGAAGATCAACAAGTGCGACCAACCCTTCAACATCGACTGTGGAGATCGTACCGAACTTCGTAAGACTTCAACGAGAGAGAAAAAAAGACAAATCCGATTAACATTATCATTTTACAGAACCGCCAAAGAGCTCCAAACTGTGCCCACGTCGCAACGGATTCTTCGCCCATCCTGAACCTCAAGTCTGCAACATCTTCTACAACTGCATCGAGGGTGATGCCACCGAGATCAAGTGCACCAACGGACTTCACTTCGACGAGTACTCAGGAACCTGCGTCTGGCCAACTGCCGCCGGTCGTCAAGGCTGCGACGACTCCAAAGTCCGTAAGTATTCAGCAAAAAAAAACCATCACATCAAGATCACCAAAACTTACCGATTTCTTCACTTTAGACACCCTGAAGGACGGTTTCGAATGCCCAAAGGTTGAACAGACCGACGCCAACGGCCAACTCATTGTCCATCCCAAATTCGCCCATCCTTCCGACTGCCAAAGATTCTACGTGTGCCTGAACGGACAAGAACCCAGGGACTTGGGATGTCAAGTCGGTGAGGTCTACAACGAGGAGACCCAGAGGTGCGACGCCCCAGAAAACGTACCCGGATGGTAAATAAAACTCTAAACACAACCAAATACAACAAAAGGATAATCTAACAATTTCTTTTCACTTGCAGCGAGGACTGGTACAAAGATGAGCCATCATCCAAACCAACCAAGAAGGCGTAAACAAATTAACGTTCAGCCAAACGTTATTTTCTCCTAATTTCACTAAATTAAAACATTAAAAAAAATAATAATAACAACGAAGACTTTCTTCACGTGTATTTTGTGTATATGACTTTTGTAATGTGTGTTTTATGTGTTTTTTTATTAAATAATAAAAAAAAATCTTTTTTACTTTTTCAACTTATTGATTTTCAACACTATCAAAATTCAGCATAATTACAAATTAACAACATTCCTCGTCCTTGACGATTCAGGAAGTTTACATTGTTATAAACGAGAAATAAAATTATTTACGTATATTTTTTCTGCAAGTGCTAAACACAGTAACGAACGCTAATTTCACTGCATTCCAACAATTCTATTAAGAGATGACATTTAAACGTTTCAACCTTTTCGAATTAAGAAGCTATTTACGAGGAATTTCGAAATAACTATAATTTTATGTAATTGACCAATCAAATTAGAACCGATTAAATAATGTTCTTGTTTTTTTTTCTTGTCTGATCTCTAAAAGCCTACCCATTATTCATTCTTTCTTCCTAATTGTGACTTATTATGTACGACATTCCTATAAGAAGAAAAAAAAATGAAAGGTAATCTATCATTTATTCAAAATTGCATTTCGTCACATCTTTTTCATGTGGCTTTCAAATTTCACTAATTGTTAACGTTCCAAAGAAATCTGAAGATGATTAAATATTGTATTACAAACGAGAATTACAGTAAATGAGAATTGAATTTTTAAACTTGCATATTTATAGCAGCAAGAGAATAATTATGATTCACTATGATTCAAAGATGAATTATTGATTAAATAATAATGCTGCAACAATTACAAAATATTGTAATGTATATTGAATATGCAGATCAAAGTCATTACAATAGAAATGAAAATTGAAATACTCGTATCATGTTGACACCTGTATGATTCACTCAAAAAGTGTTTCCACAGTTTATAGTATAACTCAACATTCACTCATCATACTTACAAGTATGAATACTCTAATTAAACTTAAATATGTATGCTTTAATATGAATGTACTAATATATTTGTATATATCTATAATTTTCTGTAGTAAGCTGTCAAAGATAAAGAAAAAATATGTCTATTAATATTCCAAAATGCATTGTTTACACGTTTTATACTATTACTTTTACGTATTCCAATTAGATTTATTAATACTCTGATTAAAGTAAATAAGCTTTAATATGACTATAATGTCTATATAATCTATAATGTTTGTGATCTAAATAGAAGATGTCTTGAAGATTGTATTGATTTGTTGAAAATCTGCATGCGACATAGTGAAAGCGGTGCATTGTGCTACGATTTCCATGAACTTTACTAAAAACTAATGTCAAAGTTCCATTTCATTTCGCTCCTTTCATATCCACAATCATCCTCATTATTTCTAATCATCCTTTTAAAATATTGCGCACTGTTCAAACAACGATTTTTCAATTTGCACATTTCTTGCGTCATTCCGCATATCATAATTACGTTTACAATCCTTTACAACTTCTTTTCGATCGTACCATTTCTATTTCGGAGTCCAATTGAAGAAGAGTTAAAGAATCCGGTTACGTGAGGGAAATAGATGATGCACGTCGCCACGGTTTCCATGAACTTTACTGATTCCTTTCTAATAAAATGTAATACTAAATATGTATATATTTTTTCTCTTTCCTCTTTCTAAAATAAACTGTTATGTTTATGTTTTTTTTATATTTGGAACGATCTAGTTTTTAATTGCTTTTTTTTAATTTATTTGTGATTTGGTGGAAAGCGGTGAAAGCGTCGAAATGACAATTCCTTTCTAATGACTATTTTATTGTTTTGGTGTTTTTTTTTTGAAATTTAAATCAAGTCAACGTGTGTAATGCATATTTGAGAGTGTGATCGGCGTGTATCGATTGTTTCCATGATTTGGAGAATCTGGTTATGAGAGGTGAAAGTGGTTCGGCCGTTGGGTAACCCGTGCAGCGAATGCCCTAAAGTGTAATAAAAAGAAAGCGCTAATTAATTAGTTGTATCATATTTTCAAAAAAAATAAAAAAATACAACAATTTTCCTCCTGTATCTTTCGCGTTGTTTCTTTTTTTCTTCTGTTATTGTTGTTGAAATAGATATAGATTTTTTTTTTGTATTTATATTATTATGAAAGAAAGAAAGCAAATTAGATGGAGTAGAGCGCGATTTGTACGTACAGGAGCGGGATTTCGTAAAAGTTTACAACCGGTATTATAGGTAGTAGAGGTTGGATTGGAGTGGCCGGCTCAAGACGCCCAACATCAGTACCACGATTCCTGCGGCGTGATGCGTTTCATACCAGCTTTCATCCAATAGAAGTTTACACAACACCAAAATTAAAAGTACAAAAAGGAAAGACAATACAATACAAAAAAACGTAAAGAAAGAAGGAAGAAATTAATAGGAAAGGGATCGAAATTCTTTGCTCCCCCTTTTATTTTTTCTACGCGCTAACACACCCACATCCAGACTGCCTAAAAACCGGGCGGTGCAACAAAAGCCTGTCTTAGTCGAAGATCGTGATCCGATTCAGAAGACCGTCCTCCACCAAAATGCAGCAGCAGCAACAGCTCCTGGTAGTCGCGATGATCGCCGTCAACCTATTCTTAGGCAAGTATTCAATAGTTTCTGCAGAATCCAAATCTGGAATTCGATTGACCTTTTTGGCTTGTACGTGTGCGAGTGAGTGAGTGAATGCGTCGCAGCAGGAGTGAATGCACTCGCCGCTCCGTTACGCAACGTTACGCAAAAGAACTAATGCATTCCTCCGAATAAATATTATTATAACTATATATATAGATATATTTGAAAATGTTTGTTAATTTGGTTGCCTATGGATGCAGGTGGCGTCGAGGCGCAGAACTTCAAGTGTCCCGAAAGGACCGGATACTTCCCGGATCCGGTGCAGTGCGACGCCTACTATCTTTGCTCGAAAGGAGACGCCGAAGAGAAACTATGTCCCGACGGTCTCGTCTTCGACGACAGGGATCCGAACCACGAGAGATGCGACATTCCTGCCAACGTCGACTGCGAGGATCGCACGGAATTACGTAAGTTCTTCACTATTTTCAGACGAGTGGGCGAGGAGATGCATTACGCAACGGATCAACGATCGTTTAATGCATATTATTCAATGCGCGATTTGCATCGCAGACGGAAGTCTGACACGACACACGAGGAAGTCGAATTATTCAATTATTTGCATACCTGAAATCAATAGGTACTCATTTATTTTATCTTACAAAACAACATTTAAAAAAATTGAAATGTTAGAGTTTTTCCAGTTAAATACTTCTGCAGAAAGCTGCAATTCACGTAAACACTTTCTTGTACGTTTATAGTGTATGCATATTTAGAAAAAATAACCCATAGTGCAAGGCCAAAGCAAGTAAAAGCAACATTCATTAACTTTTAGATTTTCTCTTCAGGAAATTGTTCTTGCTCATTTTAATTAACTTATGCAAAAAAACGATTTTACATTTTCTTATTCTAAAAAGAAATCCATTTAATTTCCTCAATTATATCACACTTTTTTGTGGAATTTATAATTGAAAAGGACAGAAATTATCAATTGAAATTTCAATGAAATTTTGTTCATTTAAATTTATTATTAAAGAACGTTTCATAAGCGTACATTCTAATTGATTGCTATTGCGAAATCGTTATAATTAATGTGTGTCGTTGCTTTTGAAATGCTTCTGGAGTTTCTTTTTATTTTGGGCTTTGATAATCGCAATTATTTTCCCAACAAATGAAAGTGGCGAATATTATTCATCGATTAGTGTTGCACATAACAAAGAAGTTGGAATTTGATTGTGTTTTCTGCGCAGAGGAACCTCAACCATCGAAGGGATGTCCAAGGGCCAACGGTTACTATCGTCATCCAGACGTCGATGCTTGCGATAAGTTCGTGAACTGCGTCGATGGTGTTTATCACGAGTTACCTTGTCCACCCGGTCTCATCTACGACGATACCGCCAGCACTTGCGCGTGGCCAGCAGAGAGCCGCAGAAGGGATTGCATGAAGGCCAAGAAAGGTGAGTTTTTCGAAAACCTTTTCGTAATAGAATAAAAATAAATAATTCGTTTTTGCAGATTCCCTCGACGACGGATTCTCCTGCCCAGACGGTGACGTTTTAGGACCTGGAGGAAGGAACCTTCCTCATCCGACCTTCCCCCATCCCGACGACTGCCAGAAGTTCTACATCTGCAGGAACGGAGTTCAACCGCAGAAGGGTTCCTGCTCCGCAGGATTCGTCTACAACGAGGAGACCTTCACCTGCGACGATCCTGCCAACGTACCTGGATGGTAAGATCCTCACCAAAAACATCAATAAACATGTTATTAACAACGATTTTCTTGCAGTGAGAAGTATTACGACGAGAAGCCAAGCGGCAAGAAGAACTAGACTAACTAAATTTTTATCCTAATTTTTAGATGTTAATAATCATAAGTACGTTTACATTTAATACTATTTTTCGAATGTGCTATAAATATAAATATTATTAAGTATTTCGACTAGTTTGTAATGTAATATTTATTACGCAATAAACACACACACATAATATAGAAAACGGCGTTCACTAAAACCCATTTTATCATTCCATTGCGTAATTTAATAATAATTCCTTCGGTTCCTTTTTCTTTTTTCTTCTCTCCACTTTTCAAATGCAACTTCATCCACCGGAGAGAGAAAGTTCGATATATGTAATCATTTAGCGAACGGCCATAACGTCTCTCCTTGTTGTTTTTTTTTCCCACTCTTCATCATTACATTTGTAATGTGCATACACGTATATTTATTTATTTACTTTTTATTTCGTCGGTTTTCTGTTCTTGCGTCTCGCCCTGCTCATTCACGCTCGGTGATAGTTGGAACACCTTGATTTTATCAAGGTTGTCAACAATTCAATCTAATTTCATTTCATTTATTACATTTTTTCATTCCCTCTTAATAGTTTGTTGTTTCTGCTTATTTTTATTTCGACTGCTCAATATTATTTAAGAAATCAAATTTTTTGAAAAAAAAAAAAACTAGAGCACTATTAGTCTACGTTTTTTTTCTTTAGTGTTTATGTAATAAAAAATCACTTTGACACAGTTTTTGATTCGTGCTTAAATCGTATTTCGAAAGGTTTGATAATTATCAATATTATTATTGAAAATAAACTTTCGATTAATTCATAAGATTTCAATTGAAAATTTGTAAATCAATAAATGGAACTATTATTTCTTTATAATAAATTAAAATTTATTAACTTTGTACTAAGATTAACATTAAAATCTAATTTATGAATCTTTTTTTGTTTAATTTTATCAACGATCAATAAATATAAACTTTTGTAATGTCTAAAACCATTTATTTATTACACACACACGTCGATTGCTACATTGACCAATTTTATTTATGTTTAATATATCAATTGGTTATTCTATAGAGAAAATAACTTAAGAAGAAATGTACGTACATAAATGTTTGCGATGTTGAAACTGAAGCACTTATTGTATCGAGCAATTCAATTAGACTTCTTGCAATGTTATTGCCAAACACGTTACAAACACTAATTGATTTATCTATTGGAATGTTAAATTATCGAACTACCTTTTTTCTTTAATCATATCACATTGGATTTATTACTTCAAATCTACGACCATTATAATTTATTAATTTTACAGTAGTAAATCATTTTCTTTTATAAGAAACTTAAATGTTTCTTTTTATCAATCTAAAGTTACCTTTAATAACTTGAATAGTGTGTTATGAAAAATCTATAAAGCTAAAAATTTAATTGATTTAACGATATTTTAGTTTCGGGTTCGTCGCTTGTTACTTTAAACTGCGTTGACATCTCTTTCATAATTATCAGTTTTATTTAAGTAATTGGTTCTTTTCTCAAACTTTTTGCATAGGAACAATGTAATATAGTATTATTACATAAATATATGAAAAATAATCATTACACAACCATTAAACAATAAACAATTTTTTTTTTCAAATTTTTGAAATTTATCTTTTTCTTCATTTCTTTAATAAAAATTCAATTAAGTAATTATATATGAATCTTACATCTATTTCACTTCTTCTCTGTTGAAATATAATTAGATCAATGTTGCTTCGATTGCAAGTGATCATCCTATAATTTCAATTATCTGTTACTAAACCTTTTTGTACCTGTTACACTTCTTCTCTTAAGTAATCCAATTCGATTTATTGACTCGATTGTATTAGTCACATACAATGCAATGTTGTAACATGCGAACTACTTCTTCTGCAGCGCAAACAATCTAATTTCTTTTACCAACATGTACAATGAAATATGTATCTTTTGTAAATCTTGTAACTGCAAATACTCTTACCTAACAGTAAGATTATACATTAATATATGTAATATCTTAGAACTACAATTACTTTCAGTTAACAGCTAACAATTTGAAATGGAAATCAATAGAATTTGGAGCTTTTCTTTAGGAGATGAAATCAAAAATTTTATTAAAGTGAATATAAAGTTGCTAGAATCGAAAATAAAAAAAAATCGGGTTCGTCTTCTAACGTACCATTGATATCTCCTCAATAAAGCGATTTTCCTTAAGTAATTCATTACTTTTATTATTTTTTTTTTGTAGATTTAATAAGATTAGGAACTATGAGATTCGATATGAATGTTGCAGTTCTTTGGTACTTGTAATTAAGGGATGCGGCAATCCTGAATGAAGTTGCTGGTTGTTGGAGGTATGCACATTTTTCGACGATTTCTTTTTATTTCGAGGTCTCGTGTGTGTGTATGTGTGTACCATTGATATCTCTTGAATAAATCGATTTTCCTTAAGTAATTGATAACTTTTATTAATTTTTTTTGTAGATTTCACAAGGTTGTGAACTATGAGATTCGATATGAATGTTGCAAGTCTTTGGTACTTGTAATTAAGGGATGCGGCAATCCTGAATGAAGTT